AAATCGAGCAGTCAGACGTCCTAGCAGAGGCAGGCCCCGAGGAACTTGTGGAAGGTGGCCAAAGCTCCAAGGGCAGTACTTACAGGACACCTAGAGACGATAACCCTAGGCGCATGCAGCCCGAGTACTGTAGAATAACTCCTGGCTCTCGCACCCCTGGAAAACAGCCACCACACTCTCAGTATAGCGCTGAAAACTCTGGAGCCAAAACACGACCTCTGCCTCTAGCATCAGCCTGAGAACTAAGAGTGGATAGCCAGCGTGAAGGGTCTGGGGCTACCCCTTCCCCCTCTCGGGGAGGAGGAAGCTGTGCAGGCAGCTGTGACGTGTGACGTCATGATCGTTTGCTCGTTTCTTTTAGGGGAGTTCTATCCACTTGTTCGGCTTGTGGTAGCAATAATTTCCGCAGGATAGGGGTTTGTTTTGGGATGCTTACCTTTCTGGATGCCTAACCCGGTCGATGGCAGACATAGAATGCTTCCAACCACACGGGGGTTTCTATAGGCCATTGCACCCCCCTTGCCTCTTCTGAGGGGGGCCAGATTCTGGCTCGTGGTCCCCGGTAGGCCCTAAAAACTCCATACACATGACTGATGCCAAAGTCTGACATTAGCATATCAGCCTAGTCAGCTCCAGGGAGTCGGAGGAGGGAGTCGGAGGAGGGAGTCGGAGGAGGGAGTCGCAGGAGGGAGTCGGAGGAGGGAGTCGCAGGAGGGAGTCGCAGGAGGGAGTCGCAGGAGGGAGTCGCAGGAGGGAGTCGGAGGAGGGAGTCGGAGGAGGGAGTCGGAGGAGGGAGTCGCAGGGGCTCCCCGCCCCCCCCCCCCGAAAAATAACATTAATAATAATAATAATAATAATTGGTTAGTCAGAGGACATAGTGCTGACAATAATGTAGATGAATGCAAAGTTATGAATAGACTTTACTGAAGACAATGCAAAAACATACAGGTGAAACTTGTACAAAACTATACTCTCAAACTTTTTTTTTAATTTTAATAACTGAACATTAAATGAAAAGTTTAAACATAACAGTGGTGCATAACAAAGCAACTGCACCAGTGTAGCTGCAGGTCATTATACAACACCTGCACCAGTGTAGCTGCAGGTCATTATACAACACCTGCACCAGTACAGCTGCAGGTCATTATACAACACCTGCACCAGTACAGCTACAGGTCATTATACAACACCTGCACCAGTACAGCTACAGGTCATTATACAACACCTGCACCAGTACAGCTGCAGGTCATTATACAACACCTGCACCAGTACAGCTACAGGTCATTATACAACACCTGCACCAGTACAGCTGCAGGTCATTATACAACACCTGCACCAGTACAGCTACAGGTCATTATACAACACCTGCACCAGTACAGCTGCAGGTCATTATACAACACCTACACCAGTGTAGCTGCAGGTCATTATACAACACCTGCACCAGTGTAGCTGCAGGTCATTATACAACACCTGCACCAGTGTAGCTGCAGGTCATTATACAACACCTGCACCAGTGTAGCTGCAGGTCATTATACAACACCTGCACCAGTACAGCTGCAGGTCATTATACAACACCTACACCAGTGCAGCTGCAGGTCATTATACAACACCTGCACCAGTGTAGCTGCAGGTCATTATACAACACCTGCACCAGTGTAGCTGCAGGTCATTATACAACACCTGCACCAGTACAGCTGCAGGTCATTATACAACACTTGCACCAGTACAGCTGCAGGTCATTATACAACACCTACACCAGTGTAGCTGCAGGTCATTATACAACACCTGCACCAGTGTAGCTGCAGGTCATTATACAACACCTGCACCAGTGCAGCTGCAGGTCATTATACAACACCTGCACCAGTACAGCTACAGGTCATTATACAACACCTGCACCAGTACAGCTGCAGGTCATTATACAACACCTGCACCAGTACAGCTGCAGGTCATTATACAACACCTACACCAGTACAGCTGCAGGTCATTATACAACACCTGCACCAGTACAGCTACAGGTCATTATACAACACCTGCACCAGTACAGCTGCAGGTCATTATACAACACCTGCACCAGTACAGCTGCAGGTCATTATACAACACCTGCACCAGTGCAGCTGCAGGTCATTATACAACACCTGCACCAGTACAGCTACAGGTCATTATACAACACCTGCACCAGTACAGCTGCAGGTCATTATACAACACCTGCACCAGTGCAGCTGCAGGTCATTATACAACACCTGCACCAGTACAGCTGCAGGTCATTATACAACACCTGCACCAGTACAGCTGCAGGTCATTATACAACACCTGCACCAGTACAGCTGCAGGTCATTATACAACACCTGCACCAGTACAGCTGCAGGTCATTATACAACACCTGCACCAGTGCAGCTGCAGGTCATTATACAACACCTGCACCAGTACAGCTGCAGGTCATTATACAACACCTGCACCAGTGCAGCTGCAGGTCATTATACAACACCTGCACCAGTACAGCTGCAGGTCATTATACAACACCTGCACCAGTGTAGCTGCAGGTCATTATACAACACCTGCACCAGTGCAGCTGCAGGTCATTATACAACACCTGCACCAGTACAGCTGCAGGTCATTATACAACACCTGCACCAGTACAGCTGCAGGTCATTATACAACACCTGCACCAGTGCAGCTGCAGGTCATTATACAACACCTGCACCAGTACAGCTACAGGTCATTATACAACACCTGCACCAGTGCAGCTGCAGGTCATTATACAACACCTGCACCAGTACAGCTGCAGGTCATTATACAACACCTGCACCAGTGTAGCTGCAGGTCATTATACAACACCTGCACCAGTGCAGCTGCAGGTCATTATACAACACCTGCACCACAACAGCTGCAGGTCATTATACAACACCTGCACCAGTGTAGCTGCAGGTCATTATACAACACCTGCACCAGTACAGCTGCAGGTCATTATACAACACCTGCACCAGTACAGCTGCAGGTCATTATACAACACCTGCACCAGTGTAGCTGCAGGTCATTATACAACACCTGCACCAGTGTAGCTGCAGGTCATTATACAACACCTGCACCAGTACAGCTACAGGTCATTATACAACACCTACACCAGTGCAGCTGCAGGTCATTATACAACACCTGCACCAGTACAGCTGCAGGTCATTATACAACACCTGCACCAGTACAGGTACAGGTCATTATACAACACCTGCACCAGTACAGCTGCAGGTCATTATACAACACTTGCACCAGTACAGCTACAGGTCATTATACAACACCTGCACCAGTACAGCTGCAGGTCATTATACAACACCTGCACCAGTACAGCTGCAGGTCATTATACAACACCTGCACCAGTGTAGCTGCAGGTCATTATACAACACCTGCACCAGTGTAGCTGCAGGTCATTATACAACACCTGCACCAGTACAGCTGCAGGTCATTATACAACACCTGCACCAGTGTAGCTGCAGGTCATTATACAACACCTGCACCAGTGCAGCTGCAGGTCATTATACAACACCTGCACCACAACAGCTGCAGGTCATTATACAACACCTGCACCAGTGTAGCTGCAGGTCATTATACAACACCTGCACCAGTACAGCTACAGGTCATTATACAACACCTGCACCAGTACAGCTGCAGGTCATTATACAACACCTGCACCAGTGTAGCTGCAGGTCATTATACAACACCTGCACCAGTGTAGCTGCAGGTCATTATACAACACCTGCACCAGTACAGCTACAGGTCATTATACAACACCTACACCAGTGCAGCTGCAGGTCATTATACAACACCTGCACCAGTACAGCTGCAGGTCATTATACAACACCTGCACCAGTACAGGTACAGGTCATTATACAACACCTGCACCAGTACAGCTGCAGGTCATTATACAACACTTGCACCAGTACAGCTACAGGTCATTATACAACACCTGCACCAGTGCAGCTGCAGGTCATTATACAACACCAGCACCAGTGCAGCTGCAGGTCATGATACAACACCAGCACCAGTACAGCTACAGGTCATTATACAACACCTGCACCAGTACAGCTGCAGGTCATTATACAACACCTGCACCAGTGTAGCTGCAGGTCATTATACAACACCTGCACCAGTACAGCTACAGGTCATTATACAACACCTGCACCAGTACAGCTACAGGTCATTATACAACACCTGCACCAGTACAGCTGCAGGTCATTATACAACACCTGCACCAGTACAGCTACAGGTTATTATACAACACCTGCACCAGTACAGCTACAGGTCATTATACAACACCTGCACCAGTGCAGCTGCAGGTCATTATACAACACCTGCACCAGTACAGCTGCAGGTCATTATACAACACCTGCACCAGTACAGCTACAGGTCATTATACAACACCTGCACCAGTACAGCTGCAGGTCATTATACAACACCTGCACCAGTACAGCTACAGGTCATTATACAACACCTGCACCAGTACAGCTGCAGGTCATTATACAACACTTGCACCAGTACAGCTGCAGGTCATTATACAACACCTGCACCAGTACAGCTGCAGGTCATTATACAACACCTGCACCAGTACAGCTGCAGGTCATTATACAACACCTGCACCAGTACAGCTGCAGGTCATTATACAACACCTGCACCAGTGCAGCTGCAGGTCATTATACAACACCTGCACCAGTGTAGCTGCAGGTCATTATACAACACCTGCACCAGTGCAGCTGCAGGTCATTATACAACACCTGCACCAGTACAGCTGCAGGTCATTATACAACACCTGCACCAGTGTAGCTGCAGGTCATTATACAACACCTGCACCAGTGCAGCTGCAGGTCATTATACAACACTTGCACCAGTACAGCTACAGGTCATTATACAACACCTGCACCAGTACAGCTGCAGGTCATTATACAACACCTGCACCAGTACAGCTGCAGGTCATTATACAACACCTGCACCAGACTAGGCTAAGAACGTCTTACCACTTCACATCCTTCACACTGCTGCTGGAAGTGCCTCTTGATGTAGGTCATCCCGAGGAACTGCTCCAGGACGCACTGTAGACTGCTGTCCCCACCTTCATCCACCTGAAACAACAAAAACAATACAGTATTTTGCTTTTTAATTTCACTACAATATTGGCATTTCTCTCACCATGAACACCGAATTATAATTTTTTTTAAATTTGAACACGACTGTTCCCAGCAATACGAGCGACATTCATATCAATACGGATACAACACGCACAACAAACAACAGCCTGTTGGACCAAGTTATGGCAACTTGAACCTATCCCAGGCCGGGCTCGGGGAGAAGAACTCCCAAAAGCCTCTCCGGGTACACTTATAACTGCATCCCTCCTACCCCCAGGGCAAAGTTGGACAAACAATGTCAACACAACAATGAATAAGCATTGATTCTAAGATGATTAACCCTTGTGTTGCTAAGGGCTGTTGACCAGACCACACACTAGAAGGTGAATGGACGAAGACGTTTCGGTCTGTCCTGGACCATTCTCAAGTCGATTGTGAGAGATCGACTGGAGAATGGTCCAGGACGGACCGAAACGTCGTCGTCCCTTCACCTTCTAGTGTGTGGTCTGGTCGACATACTTTAGCCACGTTATTGTGACTCATCGCATGCTAAGGGCTATTTGACCTTTCTCACCCACAGATGCATTACAAAAAAAATTAAAAAAATTCTTCGTAACCTGTTTATTTGTGTTCCCTGACCACAAGAAAAAAAATTAATTGTACTTACCAATGACGTATATGAGCCGACAATAAGAGCGATGACATCACACCCTGCATGTTCACTCATGCAAGGTGCGTCCCGGAGGCGTCGCGCACGGTCTTCAAGCAGCCAGAGTTGCCACAAATTTATTTTCGCAGCATTATTTACAGTGTCTAGGCATATTTTATCACAATTTTTTTTCACTAATTGTGTTGCATATAATGTTACTTGATGTTCAATGATAATACAACTTGCATACATTGAGTATCCACATGCACGCACAAATGTTTTCAATTATGCCATATATAATATGTATTCCCTTTTTTTCATTATTATATATATACACACATCCACTCACTATTTACAGGTTTTTGCACTATTATTGCACATTTAGAAGTCTTGGAGACAGTGTAGTCATTGAAGCAGTCAACAGCACATAATGGTACTGCACACACTTCACGCCAGGTTTGCACCAGTTTACGTTTCTGCTCTCTCTTTTTTGTTGTTCTACAAACTAAGCAATCACGTTGGCCTATTGCACACTTTCCAGCTGGTGGCAAATGTTTTAGTCTGTGTGCTTGAAAGCCCTCAATGTGAGTGAGCCTGGGTGTAGCAGCATGCTGTAACACTGGGTTCATGATGGGTCTTTGTATGCCAGGAACATCTTTTCCAAACTTTGCTAATAACTGTCGCAAGTGTAAAAGCAAACGAACGGAAACTTGGTTTACGTCCAGTTTTCACCAGATACATACTGTAGCAGTTCAGCATGCTCATGTCAACAAGATGGAAAAACACTTTTTTCGTCCACTTCAATGTTTTCCGTACACACTCGACAGTGTCCACCATCATGTCAGATTTATCAACCAAACGCATGTTGATGTTATAGTCACGAACACAATCTGGCTTATATATTATACTTGGCTCACCTTGCCACTGTTCACCATTGCACCATCATGAACGGTTGTCAGCAAGTTCACTTCTCTCTTTTCTTTCCATCTAACTGAGAGTATTTGATCACTTTTTCTTAGCTGGCACTCACCAACTTCAAGATTATTGTCAAACACTGGCATTTCCCTTCTTCTTGGCTTTACTGTGCCAACCATTCCAGTTTTATTTTCAATCAAGAACCTAGCTAGCAAGGGACTTGTATAGTAGTTATCCGTGTATAAAATGTGGCCCTTGTTCATCCATGGTGCCATCAGTAACTTCACACTACCTGAGAAACCATGTTGGTCGTTACCAGGAATGTCTACATCGCTAGCAGAATACAGAATCATGTGTAACACGTAACCTGTTTCACAGTCACAAAAAACAAAGAATTTCAATCCATATCTGTTGCGTTTGGAGGGAATATACTGCTTGAACCCAACACGTCCTTAGAAAAGCACAAGGGATTCGTCAATCACTAGCTTCTGTACTGGTATGTAGAAATCTCTGTACTTTCCAATCACTTCATTCATATAGTGCCTGACTCGCCAAAGTCTATCATCCTCTGTCCGGTCTTCATTACTTGCAAAATGAAGACACCTGAGGAGTATCTGAAACCTGTCTTGGGACATATATTTCCTGAACAAAGGTGTTGGAACAGTCTTGTCTTTGCTCCAATAATCTGTGACAGTATGTTTTACACAATGTTTCATAAACATACATACAGTATTGCCAAAAATACATACATTTCACCTACAGCAGTGTTTCTCCAATGCTTCAATTGTGAATATTCTGTTATATCTTTTCCAATGAGATGAACCGCATGAAAGTTCGTTTGGTGTACAATATATTCCATTAGCGGCTCATCATAAAATACTGTAAAATAATCCATTTCACACATGTCCTCACCATTATCAGGGAAAAGGTCTGTAATCCCAATGTCTTTATTGTCAAAGGCAGAAGTTAGAGGAATCAAATCGTCACCATCACTCCACACAAGTACACCTGGTGTCCCGCGAGACGAAATAGCGGCATCACGGCGAGGAATCGTTGCACACCGTGGACCAGGAGCTGAAGTCCGTCTACGCAAAGTACGGCCGCTACGTGAACGCGAGGTGAAATCACGTGAACATGAGGGTCTTGGTTCCTCATGTGGTGCCATGAGGCGGCACTTGGCTGGGCGAGACGATGCTGACGCGACAAAATCTTGCTTGGTAACATCACTGGTACTAGTGACAGGCGTGGTAACACTATGCTCTGAATCCACTTCACTAAAACCAGAAAAAGAGTCGCCTTCCTCTGACTCTTATGTATCTCTCCCGCCTGCGCTCAAGGGAGTACAGATTTAGGCTCTTCAGTCGGTCCCAATAGTTTAGATGTTTTACTGAGTGGATTCTAGCAGTAAAGGATCTCTGCACGCTCTCCAGGTCAGCAATTTCTCCAGCTTTGAAAGGGGCTGTCATTGTGCAGCAGTACTCCACTCTAGAGAGCATAAGCGTTTTGAAAAGTATCATCATCGGTATAGCATCTCTAGTGTGAAAAGTTCTTGTTATCCAACCTGTCATTTTTCTTGCAGTTGTGACGGCTACTTTATTGTGCTCTTTAAAGGTAAGGTCTTCCGACATGAGTACATCCAGATCCTTTACATTGCCTTTTCGTTCTATGTTATGACTTGCCTGAGTTTTGTACGTGGTTTCCGTTTTTATATTTTCATTTTTTCCATAGTGCATGAGCTGGAACTTATCTTCGTTAAACACCATATTATTTTCTGTAGCCCATAGAAAGACCTGATCTACATCTGATTGGAGGTTTGCCGTGTCCTCTATGTTGCCTACTCTCATGAAGATATACCTAGGTATACCTAGAGTATATACCTAGGTATACCTAGAGTATATACCTAGGTATACCTAGAGTATATCTGGAGTATACCTAGAGCATACCTAGAGTATGCCTAGAGTATATCTGGAGTATACCTAGAGTATATCTGGAGTATACCTAGAGTATATCTGGAGTATACCTAGAGTATATCTGGAGTATACCTAGAGAATACCTAGAGTATACCTGGAGTATACCTGGAGTATACCTGGAGTATACCTGGAGAATACCTAGAGAATACCAGGAGTATACCTAGAGAATACCAGGAGTATACCTAGAGAATACCTGGAGTATACCTAGAGAATACCTGGAGCATACCTGGAGAGGGTTCGAAGAGTTCTTCTACTCCCTGCTTGATGGGGTTCTGGGAGTTCTACTCCCCAAGTCTGGCCCGAGGCCAGACTTGACTTGTGAGTGCTTGATCCAGCAGGCTGTTGGTTGGAGTGGCCAACAGGCCCACATACCCACCACAGCCCGGTTGGTCCAGCATTCCTTGGAGAAAATTATCTAGTTTTCTCTTCAAGATGTCCATTGTTGTTCTGGCAATATTTCTTATGCTTGCTGGGAGGATGTTGAACAACAACAATCGTGGACCTCTGATGTTTATACAGTGTTCTCTGATTGTGCCTATGGCACCCCTGCTCTTCTCTGTTTCTATTCTGCATTTTCTTCCATATCGGTCACTCCAGTACGTTGTTATTTTACTGTGTAGATTTGGGACCTGGCCCTCCAGTATTTTCCATGTACTGTATATATTATTTGATCTCTCTCTCGTCTCCTTTCTAGGGAGTACATTTGGAGAGCCTCGAGACGATCCCAATAATTTAGGTCCTTTATCGCGACTATGTGTGCCAAAGCCCCATCTATTCCCAAGGCCCGCCTGGGGCCAGGCTCGACATCTTGCAGGATGTCTAATTGTTGTTATATGAGCATATTACAAGTCACTGTTGCAGTGCCATTGTGGCACTTGAGTGTAAGTGTTACCACCAAGTGCCCCAAAATATCTTAGTAAACTGTATTATAGATGTATTTTCTGAGGAAAGCCCTTTGTGGCTCCCTTAATCGGGGGATCCATCGGGGCTCACCCAGAAATTGGCATTTCATCACATTCAACACTGCTTTTTCCACATTTGGGCAAATAAATACATAGTTCCTTGAGGTTATCTTGAGATGATTTCGGGGCTTAGCATCCCCGTAACCCAGTCCTCGACCAGGCCTCCTTTTTGTTACACATTCCCAGGAAGTAGCCAGTGACAGCTGTCTAACTCTCAGGTACCTATTTACTGCTAGGTGAACAGGGGCATCTGGGGTGAAAGAAACTCTACCAATGTGTTTCCGCTTCCCCCGGGGATCGAACCCGGAACTTCAGGACTATGAAGCCTGAGCGCCGTTTACTCAGCTGTCAGGCCCCTGTCAGTTCCTTACAGTGTCAGAATAAGATTCTTTGGCAACAAATGACGAGACCAACCTGTGCCGGTGAGCAGAGTGTGTGGAATGCATCATGGGTCAGAGTTGTTGGCACAGCTGCTGCGTAGGGCTTGTTCGGCAGCATCCGTGATGTGTAGGATGGCCCCACTGCAAAAGAAAACATTGGTGAACATTTGACCAAGATTTCAATACATGCAAGTGCTGTACTACTTCTCCCAAAGACAAATATATAAAGAAATATTTTGAATCCGAGAATATCTGTTAAACACCACCTCGGCTCGGTACACAAGACATAATCAGGAATTCCCACACGATACACGTAACTTTCCCACATATAAGGAATGGATGGATGCAACTACTGTGCTTGCCACATATAGATTATAAATGACAGTATCTACTTGCCACATATGGAGAATGGATGGATGCAACTACTTGCCACATATCTATATAAATAAAAATGGAAATGTTCGTTTGTGCATAACCGCTAATCTCCGAAAGTTCTTCAGCGATTGCTTTGAAATTTTCACACAACATTCCATTCGCATCCGAGCAGGTTTTTATATACATACTATATAGATGTCACGTCTGTGACAGTAAAAAAAAACATGCTTTTTCTGAAAAACTTTTTCATGTGAGGAAAATCTTCGAAACCTCTTTATCGATTGCTTTGAAATTTTGACACAACGTTGCATTCGAATAGGCGCGTCTTTTTATATATCTACTATATACATGCCTCAACTGTGACAGGAAAAAACATGCTTTTTTTGAAAAACAGCGGCATATGTTGCACGTAATAGCAACACACACGCCATACTAAATACGTTACGATTCCGTTTCAATGTTTCCAATTTCATTGATAAATTGAATTTTCATAAATTTTTATTTATAAAAATTTTGATTTAATTATTTTGTGTGACATTGCCTTGGAATTGAGCTGTGTTGTTTACTATAACATTCCTTTTGTAAGTTTAAGTATAGATGCCACACCTGTGACAGGTAAAAACATTCTTTTTTAAGAAACAGCGCCATCTGTTGCACGTAAGAGCAACTCTTACATCAAATACACCAGCTTGATCCTTGCATCAAATACGTTGCTATACTAAATAGGTTACGATTCCATTTCAATGTTTCTTATTGCATTGACAAATTGAATTTTCATAGATTTCTATTTATTTTTATTTCGATTTAATTATTTTGTGTGACATTGCGTTGGAATGCAGCTGTGTTGTTTACCATACCGTTCATTTCGTGAGTATAGTTTATTTTATACATTTTTTATTTTTTTCATTTTGTGGACGAGGGGGGACAAGTGTGGGGAGATGGTGGGGAGGACAAGGGGTCAGGGGGAGGGGGTAATGGTGGGGAGGACGAGGGGACAGGGGGAGGGGGTAATGGTGGGGAGGACGAGGGGACAGGGGGAGGGGGTAATGGTGGGGAGGACGAGGGGTCAGGGGGAGGGGGTAATGGTGGGGAGGACGAGGGGTCAGGGGGAGGGGGTAATGGTGGGGAGGACGAGGGGTCAGGGGGAGGGGGGTAATGGTGGGGAGGACGAGGGGTCAGGGGGAGGGGGTAATGGTGGGGAGGACGAGGGGTCAGGGGGAGGGGGTAATGGTGGGGAGGACGAGGGGACAGGGGGAGGGGGTAATGGTGGGGAGGACGAGGGGACAGGGGGAGGGGGTAATGGTGGGGAGGACGAGGGGTCAGGGGGAGGGGGTAATGGTGGGGAGGACGAGGGGTCAGGGGGAGGGGGGTAATGGTGGGGAGGACGAGGGGTCAGGGGGAGGGGGGTAATGGTGGGGGAGGACAATGGGACAGGGGGTAATGGTCGGGAGGACGAGGGGACAGGGGGAGGGGGTAATGGTGGGGAGGACGAGGGGACAGGGGGAGGGGATGGTGGGGATGAGGGGACAGGGGAATGGAGAATGGTGGGTCGCCAAACTGTATCCTGTATGGGTCGCCATACTGGATCCTGTATGGATCAGCAGAGTGACAGATGAAACATTCCAGAAAATGACAAGAGTGTCAGATGTCAAAAGTAAACTGGCTATGCAGCTCAGTGCTGGGAAGCACTGAGCCTGTACTTATCTAGTCACTAGGGAGGCAGTGAGGGAGGCAGGCTGTGATGGAGGAAAGGAAGTAGGCTGTGAGGAAAGGAAGTAGGCTGTGAGGAAAGGAAGTAGGCTGTGAGGAAAGGAAGAAGGCAAGGAGGGAGGGAGGCAATGAGGGAGGGAGAGAGGGAGGTAGGTAAGGAGGGAGGCAAGGAGGGAGGGAGGGAGGTAAGGAGGGAGGTAGGTAAGGAGGGAGGTAGGTAAGGAGGAAGGGAGGGAGGTAAGGAGGGAGGGAGGCAAGGAGGAAGGGAGGGAGGTAAGGAGGGAGGGAGGCAAGGAGGGAGGCAAGGAGGAAGGGAGGGAGGCAAGGAGGAAGGGAGGGAGGTAAGGAGGGAGGGAGGCAAGGAAGAAGGGAGGGAGGTAAGGAGGGAGGCAAGGAGGGAGGGAGGGAGGTAAGGAGAGAGGGAGGGAGGGAAAAAGGGAAGCCGACTCAACAGGTACACAAGCATAAACATACTTTTATGGGTCATGTAGCACAGTAGGAATTCATTGTGTCCCCGACACAATTCATTGTGTCGGGGACAGGCAGGCAGAGTGTATTCATACACATTAGGCTTATATCGAGCCACCCCCCTCCCCAGGGTAGAATTACTGACCCCGCCCAGGATGCAAACCCACAACAAGCTGACTTAACTCCTAAGTACCTACTTACTGCTAGGTGAACAGGTGCATTAGGTGATAGAAAATGGGCCCAACCATTTCTGTCTCGCCTGGAATTTAAAACTGAAATTCTCGATTGTGAGTTGAGAATGAACCCGACTGTACTACCGTGACCTTCCTTAAGGTCCCGGTAGTACAGTCACCAAGCAGGACAGAAACAATTGGACCCACTTCCTTTCACCTGATGCCTCTGATTACCTCACAGTTACACTGCACTAAGATCATTAAACAACTCTTTCAAATTTGGACAAATAAAGCACAATGAACTCGTAACAACTTGACGTGTAGATGAACAAATATTGGGGGTTGTACAACGAGACTGAACATGCAGCTGTGGACTCTGCAGACACAAGCACTACCGATGGTACCATGATGGCCCTAGCATGGTTCCGTTGGTCATGTGCGTGCCTAGGGAGTCCAGAGATGCAGCTTCGTACCATCTCAATATTTTCCCTGGGATTAATAAAGCAACCGAGGAGGAACGTAGCTGAAGGTGAAGGAGGCCATGGTCATCCACCACCTTAACCCTTACACTGCTCAGGGGTCATATGGACATTTACACCCCTGTGCGCAAGAAAAAAAAAAAATCAAAAAATTTTTTTCGTCTTCTAAACATGTTAATTTGTGTCCCCTGAGCACGAAAAAAATAAAAAATAAATCGTAGGTGACATATTTTGGGCGCAATTGACCGAGGAAGTCTGGCAAAAAGTGGGCGTTGACAGAGTGGTCGTCAGACCCGGTCAGCGTCACCCGCGTTGACAGATGGGAGTTGCCACAAAGATATTATTACCTAATTGTTTCAATGTCTCCGATTGATTTTTTCTTAGTTTTTTTGCAGTAATATTATTCAATAGTGTGTATTGTAATATATTTATATAATAAAAGTGGTTAATAATCGCTATACTCAAAAGTATGATGTGCATATTAGTGATTCAATTATTATGTTTATAAAACAATAAACAAATAGTTTTGCTGCTATTACACTCTATACACAGGTTATATATAAGTATTGGCATGTTTTGGTCACCATAACGAACCACTAAGTTGGTATTGAGAGTCGAAAAGCAATGAGGAGTTACCGCCACACACCAGCCAGCCACTCGCTGCCTCAACACACGCACTAAACTTTCTCCCCCAACAATACCAGTTGTGATGTTATTACACTATATACAGACGTTATATATAAGTATGTGTATATTTTGTTCACCACAACTGTACAGCTAAGCTGATATAGTTAGTTCAGGCACTAAGAGTCGTTGCTATACACAGATGGCGGCTGGCGGCTCCCTCACTCTTTCAAGGTCACACGCACTAAACTTTCTCCCCCAACAATACCTTTTGCAGTGTTATTACCCTATATACACATATTATATATAAATATCTACATGTTTTATTCACCGTAACTGTACACCTAAGCTTGTAGAGCGCCCAAAGAGCATAGTGGCCACCCTCTAAACAGCTAGAGAAATCGTGCAAACGACGTCACCTCCGTCACCCATATGGCTCCTCCCAGCATAATCCTTTTGCTGTTATTACACTAATACACACATTATATATAAGTATCTACATTTGTGTTCACCATAGAGAACCACTGACCTGGTATGGTGAACGCAAACAATAACAGGTGGCCACACAGTCAGTAAACGATGCTGTCTCCCTCCGTCTCTCAGCATCATTCCTCACACAGCGCTAATTATTACAACAATCCTGCTATTATCACAACCCTGGTTATTTATATCACAGTCATTGGTCATCTGTAATATTGTCATCGCTAAATAATAACAATTATATATTTATTTTGACATTTTTCGGCGATGCTGTGGTCACAAGCTGAACATCAATGCTGTTCGCTCATGCTGCGTGCGCCGGCCTTGGTTGCTCCAACAGTACTGTGCCTCTCACACCTGAGAATATTGTCCACGATTTTTTTTTAAATGGCATCTGTTTACAAGAGCCCTGAGGAAGCTACTGTGAACCCCGTGTAGCCGCGGGCCATTTGAATCAGGCCTGGCACCCTATGGCGTATATATACGCCATGCGCACCATGGGACATGTTACTCAGGGCGTATATATACGCCATGCGCAGTTTAAGGGTTAATAAAGGGCAAAACACCACTGCTCAGGCAGGACACTTTACTTTGGCTGTGCATGATGGCCGAGGCCGGAGAGTGCATCGGCACGGAGTGTGGCCCAGCTGGGGAAGGCGCCAGGAACCCTGGCGACGATACGCTGTGTTGTGGCGCAGACGGTGAATTAGCCCCCAGGAATCCTCCACCAGGGGATGGGTGGGGCAGCATGGCGGGCGATGGGTTCATCCCGGGCAACGATGGAGGGGATGCCAAAGAGAAGCCGCTGGTTGCAGGGCTCGAGACGAACCCCCCGTGTCCGCCAGTCTATAATGGAAACCAATAACATTCTGTATTCTGGCTAATCGGCTCTTATTATTTACCCATTTCCATAAGCAAGTTATGGTTATTTGGTTATCTGCCCACCAGATAACCAAACTGGTATACTAATATTTAATTAGGAATACATACTACAGGAACAAACTTGTCAACTAATATTTCATAAGATTGGTTGACATTAAACGATAGGTATACACAACCATACAAGATGAGTGGTTGTGTAAACTTTACACAACACAACCATGGAGGGAGCAGGGAAGAGGCTGTGACGGAGGGAGCAAGGGAGTGAGGGAGGGAGGCTGTGAGGGAGGCTGTGAAGGAGCAAAAAGAGTGAGGGAGGCCATGAGGGAGGGAGGCTGTGAGGGAGAGAGGGAGCAAAGGAGTAAGTGAGGGAGGGAGAGAGGGAGAGGCTGTAAGGACGGGTGTCTAAACTAGATTTATTCCTCCAAGGAGTGCCGGACCAACCGGGCTGTGGTGGGTATGTGGGCCTGCGGGCCGCTCCAAGCAACAGCCTGGTGGACCAAACTCTCACAAGTCGAGCCTGGCCTCGGGCCGGGCTTGGGGAGTAGAAGAACTCCCAGAACCCCATCAACCAGGTATCAACCAGGTGTCTATAAGGGAGGGAGGCTGTGAGGGGAGGAATAGAGGTGGAGTATGAGGGAGTGCAGACTCATACAGTCTAAACCAAATGTACTCTACAATTATATCAGTATTATAGGTAGTTTTAAAGAATTTTGGAAAGAGGGGGAAAAAATTAACCATTAACACTGACGTTCAACTACGAGCACGTATCAGACAGGGTGGCCACACCTGAGTCATGCCGCCAGGGTGAGGACTGGCGGGCGTGTGTGGATTCGAGGATATGGGCGGGGTCATGGGACCGTGGCGTGCCGGAGAAGCAGCCTTGGGGGTGGGCCACAACGTGTCGTCCAGTGGGATCGGCGTGGGCGGATTGTCATCCTCAGACTGGGAGCGTCTGATGTTGATGGCAGTCTCATCCACGTACTTGCTCAGGAATGCCTGTGGATGAAACAAACAACATTTTTACCGGGAACAGACAGACCAAAATTCATGCGCGATAACATGCCTGAAAATTAGATACCCAGCCCAGACAGAGGGGCCAGACAGCCAAGTGGACAGTGCTCAAGATTCCTAGTCCTAAGGTTCCGGGTTCGATCCCCGGCGGAGGCGGAAACAAATGGGCAGAATTTCTTTCTCCCTGATGGTCCTGTTCACCTAGCAGTAAATAGGTACGTGGGAGTTAGACAGCTGCTACGGGCTGCTTCCTGGGGATGTGTAACAAAAAGGAGGCCTGGTCGAGGACTGGGCCGCGGCGACGCTAAGCCCCGATGTCATCTCGAGATAACCCAACAGTTCTCTAATTTTCCCCAACTAAAACATGTAAATGATTGTTACTTATGCAGCAATTAAGACAGTTAAACGATGCTTTATAGTTCCCATTGTCAGGGTACAGGAAACCATGATTGGGGGCTTATCAAGGACTTCCTCTCCCCCTAGGCCAACTACTGACTGACCTTCCACAAGATACTACCCACAACAGTTGCCTATCTCCTGAGTTCCTGTTTTAGTACTAGGTGAACAGCCCCATTAGGTGAAAGGAAACATGCCCAACTATTTCTGCTGGGCCAAACAAAGCTTATTTATTATCATAGTTTCAGTCCTTCAATGTAGATATGACAAGAGCCAAATAATCTCTGGATGAGAAGCAGGACCCAAGAGCCAAAGATCACCCCCCACAAACACAACTAGTCGAGTATAACTAGATCATTACTATGCTGGAATCTTAATGTGCCTAACACTGAACTATCATATTTGAGTAGACACTGATGACTAGTCTCACGTGAAACTGCAAAAGTCTAGTGCTGTGCACAAATAAGTCTGAAGCTGTACACAAGAATGTCTGGGTCTACTCTGCAGAAATTCTGCAGCTGGAATCCCGGGTATATGACAGACACTTACCTTGAGCCCCTGTATCTGGATAAACTCTTCGATTAATTTCGAAGTCTCAAAACTGCTGTATGCTCCATCTCGGACGGCAACTAATCCACAGGGCAGCAGGTCGACGTTCAGGCAGTAGACATTGCGGTATATAATACTGACTCGTGTTGGGGACTGGGGCAGGACCGTGAAGTTCTTAATTGGTTGATGCTTCTGTTAAACAAAAAAATAAAGCTCATCAGTATTCCATTATGTAAAAAATGCAATAATTAAGTCAATTTACTACAGATGTGTATCAACTTACCTCATAATTTGTTGATGACTTGTTAAGGGTCCAGGATGGACCTAAATGTCATCATTTTAGGTGCTTACCATGTGTGGGTTGGGTATTAATTTGCCAAGTCAAAAGCCTTACAGCAGTTTAAATCCATCCATTATATTAAGTAACAAAAATTAATAAAGAATCCCGATTTTACTCAAGACAGAAATCAATTTTTTAATCAAAACATAGCAAACTGAACTTTTCTATACCACATAACCAGCAAAATAGGTCTCTGAATTAATCAGCATAACCGACACCCCTTCCCTCCTGGTTAGAACACTGATCGACACAACAAAGGGAAGACCTCAATGAGTTGACACTAAGCCCACACATCTGAAAAATGAAGAACCAACAACGATTTGGTCTGTCCTGGACCATTATCACAACTTGATAATGGTCAGGGACGGACAGAAATGTTGTTGGGTCTTCATTATGGGGATAATAGTCCAGGATAGACCTAAACGTTGTCGGTTCTTCATTCTCAAATGTGTGGGTCGAGTGTCAACTCTTCCACCACATTAATGTGACTTATCAACTGTACCTGCAAGTGTGTTCTCAGGGAGCTACAGAGGCTCCCCTGGATAGCTCCGGGGAGCTGACGGGGCTCCCCCCCAGAAAGACCAGACGCGAAGACTCGAGGAGATTGAACCAGTCACGTAACGGACCGGACCGATCTGCTGAAAGAGGCGGAGCTGCGGGAATACCTCCAGATTCGGACACCGAGCAAGCAGCGCCTGAAACCAAAGCTGGGTCGGCCACCATGGGGCCAAGAGGACTACTCTCCTGTTGTAAATCTAAGTGAGCTAGGACCTGGAGCAACAGCTGAACCAGTAGGAAGAGGTACAGGAACTCCCGCCTCGACCATTCCTGCCTAACGGCATCGACCCCGACGGCCTCACAGTTGGGGAAGGGCCCCGCATATACCGGAAGACGCTTCGATCACGCCGACGCGAAGAGGTCCACCTCCAGGCTCCGAACGTCTGGCAGAGCCAACTGAAGGAGTCAGCCTCGACCATCCACAACACTCCATTACACGGACAGGGGGAATGAACTGGGACAGGCTGTTCGCTAGGATGTTAGACATGCCCCCCCTCCCCGGACGTGAATGGTCAGGAGAGCCAAATCCCGAGAACTCAGCAGACGAGTTACCTGAAGCGAACAGCCCCTAAAGAGCTAAGGACCGTATCAAACTCCTTCGATTCAGGCAATGAACCACGGGGGAGTGGTCCGAATGGAGCTGGATCGTCGATCCGCAGGCAACCCGAACACCACCGCAAACTCCTGCACCGTGCAGTGGACCCGACGGAAGGATGGACCCCACCACCCCTGGCCTGCCTGGTCAGCACTGGTCACAAAGCCCCAGCCAAGAGACGATGTGTCAGTGAACACATTGAGCGAGGGTTTGGGTAGGCGCCAATCTTGAGGTTATCTTGAGATTATTTCGGGGCTTAGCGTCCCCGCGGCCCAGTCCTCGATCAGGCCTCATTTTTGTTAACCCCCTTCCCAGGAAGCAGCCTGTAGCAGCTGACTAACTCCCAGGTACCTATTTGCTGCTAGGTAAAAGGGGCATCAGGGGGAAAAACTTTTTTGCCCACTTGTCTTCGCCTCTAACCGGAAATCGAACCCAGAACCTAAGAACTATGAATTCGAAGCGCTGTCCACTCAGCTGTCAGGCGCCAAGGCAATGAACCCCAAAAAACCCAAAGAGGAAACCGGCGACGCAGCAGCTGACACAAGGCCCCAGGGGACCGAACCCAGCAGTCACGAGAGAGGTGGAAGGAACGTCCAAAAAAGAACCAGAACAACCGACGAAGCAAAACCCGACCCGGTGGGTAGACCATCACAGCAAAGTTCAGGCTCCTGCACAAATCCTCGCGCCCTCCGCCGAGGGACCCGGGAGCCCCCAGAATAAGCGAAGGCAGGAGTGCAGCCGAATCAGAGACTCTGGAGGGAGAGACAAGGAAACAGGCTGAGAGTCTCACACAAGACCCAGCCAAGGTCAAACCAGAGAGGGAACCAGATGGGACTTCCACCAGTTCACCAGGAACCCGAACCCAGCGAGCTGGGAAAGAACCAAATCCATGGCGAGCAGACACGTGGACTGGCTGGGAGCCCAGATCAGCCAGTCGTTGAGGTAAGCCAACACCTGAAGACCTAAGAGATGCAGACGGGCCACCACTATCCGGGTAAGGTGTGTGAACACGCGAGGTGCCAGATTAAACCATAGGGCAGCAGAACCAGAATGGGAGACCTCGAAAGTGGTAACCGAGATGCCCCACAACAAATCCGAGCCAATCTCTGAATCCCAGATGAATCAGAATATGCCAATACATGTCCCAGAGGTCCAGGGACACCATCCAAGCACCCAGCTCCAACAGAAACCGGACTTGGGACAGAGAGGTCATCTAAAAGGAGAGGCAAGAAACCCAGGGGTTCAGATGGGTCAAGTCCATAATCAACTGCAGGTCTGCACAGTCCCATTTCGGGACTGGGAACAGACGGGAAACTCACCCAAGGGACGTCGTCGTTTTGACCACGCTTAAGCATACCCACTCAGAGATGACCCGACAGAGCGCAGAAGAAGAAGCCAGTCCCAAATTCCCCACCGGAGGAGGGGCCACCCAACGCCACCGCAGGCCGTCGGAAAAGACCCAAAACGCCCATGGACCGTGAGACCAGGCGCGAGCAGAGAGAGCCTCCCCTCCATCACCCCGTCAATGGGGCGAACCGCAAAGGGGCCGACGCCCCTTACGAGAACCCTGACTTACACACAGGGCGATCACTGCACCAACCAGATGAAGACTGGTGCAGTTCTCATTATTACTACTATCCCCTACACCTTACTTTCCTCCTCAGCTCTCTCTTGCCTATTTATTGCCTGTCTCTACCTCCTCTTCACAATCGACTTGAGAATGGTCCAGGACGGACCAAAACGTCGTCGTCCCTTCAACTTCTAGTGTGTGGTCTGGTCAACACCAAGTCATTACAACTACAGTGGAACCTCGATTAATGAGCGGCTCTATTAACGAGCATTTCCAGTAACGAGCGAGCCACTCGCAGCAAATTTGTCTCTATTGACGAGCTTCACCTCTATTAACGAGCAAAACCACATGGTGCTTCCTAGCGTCTCGCGGGTTCTCGCAAATTCTCGGAGACCTCCGACGCCAGTGTTGTTGTTGTATCGCACACGACAAGCATCCCTCTGGATTTATTTGCGCTTTTCTTTGTTTTTAGTGGTTTTGCTACTACAATTTGTAACACACGATATCTCCAAAGAAGCTGCTTGCTAAAGATAGTGTTGTCAAGAGGAAGAAAGACACAATTACTGTGGATTAGCAAGAAGGAAATTATAGCAAAGCATGAGTGTGGTGTCTATGTGACTGATCTCACAAGGGAGTATGGCAGGTCCTCATCAACAATTTACACCATTAGTAAGGGAATGAGGAGGTAAGGGAGGATGTTGCCTCTTCCACTGAGATCAGGGAAGTGTTGGGAATGTTTGAAAAGGTGAATGCGTTCTTGGAAAAGCTGCTCTGATAAAGCAGTGACAATCCGGTGTGTGAAAATGTTTAATTAATTTATCACTTTGTGATAACACTTTGTGAAAGTGTTATCACTTTCGCAGGTATATGTCGCTTGAACGTGACACACTTTTTTCTCTTGAATGGACCCAAACACCGCGCTCAAGTGTCATTTAAGCAAATATTTCTATAAAATCTAATTCTTATCCGATCGACTTGGGGATAGTATAAACATGTTTGCCATGAAATTTCCGTTTTCTCTAATAGCCACATAGCCTATTTGGGAGAACAGCATTGTATTGTATCTTTGTGGTAAGACCATTGTATTGTTGACACGACGAGTGCAATCGACGTAGTTTTTTATTTGGTGCTGGTCTAACGCATCCTTGTGTGTCATTTGAAATAAATTTGGGTGAAATTTCCAAGAGAGAATCCGCCTGACTCAGAGGTGGATTCTCCTTCCACACCATAACCCCTCTCCTCCTTCCCACCTCCCCATCGTCTCCCTCAAGCCAGCAACGACTCTTCATAAGGTAAAGTAAACATTAAAACAGTATAACAAAACATTTATATTTACATGTGCAGTATTATATTTACATAAAAAAATGTCATACAAGTATGGATGTTTTTGGGAGTGGAACGGATTAAATTTATTTCCTTTATTTTAAATGGGGAAATTTGTTTCTTAAGACGAGTTTTCCAGATAACGAGCTCGGTGCCAGAATGGATTAAACTCGTTAATAGAGGTTCCACTGTATATAACACTGGGAAGGGGTCAGGATAAGGATTTGGGATGGGACGGGGGGAAGGAATGGTGCCCAACCACTTGGACGGTCGGGGATTGAACGCCGATCTGCATGACGCGAGACCGTCGCTCTACCATCCAGCCCAAGTGGATGATCAGGGGGGGGTGGGGGAGGATGGACCAGACGAAATCACAACAGGGGAAAGACAAGGGGGTGCGGACGGAAACAAAACCGAAGCAACCAACACCCCCAAGCCCCGTCACAGCAACCAAAATGGAGCAGGAACAGAGCCGGCCGCTATGAATGGTGAAAATAAGTTGCACAGTACCCTGCACCCCCTACCAGTGCAAACTGCCCCCTACCCTAAGGCGAACAAGGGAGACAGAACACCCTAGCACACAAAGGGCAGCCGAAAACTGAGCAGTAAATGGCCAAGCAGAGGCAGAACCCAAGAAACTTGTGAAAGGTGGCCCCAAGCCCCAATGGCAATACTTACTGGGCACCTAAGGAAGGGAACCCTAGGCGCATGCAGCCCGAGTACTGAAGAAAAACTCCTGGCTCCCATACCCCTTACAAGACAGCCACCATGCCACAAGGTACAGTGCTGTGACCAAGACTGAAGCCAGAGCACACAACTTCTGCCTAGCTCATCAGCTTTAGAACTGAGGTCTTGGGTCGCTGGCGTAAGGGTTCTGGGGCTCACCTTCCCCACCCGGGGAGGGGAGAGCTGCGCAGACAGCAGCGCGACGACGTGTAACGTCATGCTCAGTACCTCGTTTTTATTTTGGGAGTTCTGTCCACTAGTTCGGCTCCCATTAGCAATTTCTTACCCAGAATAGGGGTTTGTTTTGGAATGCTTACCTTTTTGGGTGGCCTGACCCAGTCGATGGCAGACATAGAATGCTTCCAACCACAGGGGGGGGGGGTTCTATTGGCCATTTTCTTGTGCCTCTTTGAGGGGGCCAGGTTCTGGCTCATGATCCCCGGCAGGCCTAAGAACTCCATACACATGACTGATGCCAAAGTCTGACATTAGCAATATCACCCTGGATAGCTCTGGGAAGCCAACGGGGCTCCCCTAGAAAAGTAACAATTACCAGTCATCAATTTGGCCATCTCAATACTGTACTTGGATTGGATGTATCAAATCAAGAAGATATTCGTTCAAAAATGGATTGACAGCTGCTGTAGAGATAATGCTTCCTCTAGCATGAGTGATGGCAATTCAACTGCAAAAAATTTTTTGAGCGAGTGTTCATAATCTGTATGAACCGCACAACTTCCCAAGAACTTGCCTGGTTGATACCTGGTTGATGGGGTTCTGGGAGTTGTTCTACTCCCCAAGCCCGGCCCAAGGCCAGGCTTGACTTGTGAGAGTTTGGTCCACCAGGCTGTTGCTTGGAGCGGCCCGCAGGCCCACATACCCACCACAGCCTGGTTGGTCCGGCACTACTTGGAGAAAACAATCCAGTTTCCTCTTGAAGATGTCCACGTTGTTCCGGAAATATTTCTTATGCTCGCCGAAGACCGAGACCATAAGCTTCCATAGACTTACCTTGTCAATAACTCCAAGATGAAGAGTTGGGGAGAGCTTGGAGATGGCCAGAAGAGGATGATATGTCTGGTGCAGTGTGGTAGCCAAGTCCACGAGTCCCATGTTCCCCGTCTGATTCACCAAGTCCTGAAGCTGATCCTGCATGGTGGTGTGAGGATTCGTCGCCCACACGCCCTCTCCACACATACCTCACAACAAGTAACAAAAGATATTTTGAGATATGTATAGTAGTTTCTCGCCATTCATTCAAAGATCTTAAATCATCACATAACATAAGTGACCAATGCTCCCATATTATATGTACCTTTAGGCAATTTATTAATTCATTATTGTTATATAACCCAACCGACACGCGAAATTGAACGAGTGATGATGTTTCGAGCCATTCTGGATGCTTATCAAGTCGTGACAGCTTGATGATATTCCAGTACAGACCAAAACGTCAGACTCTGAGGTTACCTCGAGATGATTTTGGGGCATAGTGTCCCCGTAGCCCGGTCGTCGACCAGGCCTCCCAGTCGTCATACCTTTCATTTAATTTCACATAATCTTTGTTTGGTTATGTATTTCGGCCACATTATCAAATCATGAATGAACAAGCACAAAAAATGAAACAAGAGTGGAAATGAACGTGTGTGTGCTCATGTGGGCAGTATGGCTACCCTGATGCATAATGGACCAGTACAGAATATTTTGCATGGAACACCTGACGGTAACTGATTTCAGTACAGTACTTCAATTTTATTTATAACATATAAACAAAATGGCATTACTTGTTCTTATTAACAATATAAACAATTTAATAGACATATGGACATTCATTCAGACAGGGACGTACACACAGATGGACAGACGGACAAGAGACAGACCGACAAGACAGAACAGATGCACACACAAAGACTTGCATACAGAAACAATATAAAGATACAGTCACAACAAACCCATACACAGACAGATAATCCCAAGCATAGAAATACAAACACGAAGCGTTATATGACAAAGAGTGCTGGGAAGACGGGACACCACGAGTGTAGCTCTCATCGTGTAACTACACTTAGGTAATTACACTTAGGTAATTACGAAGTACAAAATACAAACTGGTAAGCACGAAGTCCAAGGCAGGTGGCAATGGCAGCAGAAAGTCAGAAGTAACAAAATTATCGACAAAAGAAAGACCGACAGAATCACAGAAACAAAAAGACGGCCATCTGGAGGAAGGAGAGACGTGTAAGCGGCCACACGCTCCCAAAATGACAGTCAATTATATGGCCATCTGAGGGTAGGAGGGACATGTGACTGGCCAAACATACAAAAAGACAGTCATCAACAGGAAAGAGGGACATGGCCACACACTCCGGAACTAACAAACAATAATATGACTATACAGGGAAAGGAGGGATTGTCTAAGCGTCCACACGCTCCCAAAATGACTGAATTTATGGCCATCTGGAGGAGGGAGAAACGTGCCCAATGGCCACACAACTAAGTACTGATAAAAATTCAAAGTTGGCCATCTGAGGAAACAAAGGACACACAAAATGGCCACACACGTTCATGAACTGAAAGGCACAAAAAGACAGCCACCTGGGGGAAGGAGAAACATGTTAAGCGACCCAATGTTCCAGGACTGACAGGTCAGTGTAGCACGACCTTATAAACGAGTCCGTCACTGGTTTAGACAGATGGAGGCGACACGGTGGGCGTGCAACAGAAATTTAATCATGAGGAAAGTAATATTAGAAAGCAAACTCCATGAAGGAGCCTAGAAAAATGTCACCAGATAAAGGATTGTAGAACATTCTGGGAGAGTAAATTTTATAATATCGTCACAACACGGCATCAGAGAGGGACAATCACATTTAACAAACTTGATTGAATTTTATGACAATCGCCAAAATAAGACAAGAGAAGGAAGGATGGGGAAGACTGCATCTTCCTAGACTGGCAAAAAGCTTTTCATACAGTTCCCCACACATGACTAAAATACAAGACGGAAAGACAAGCAGCGATACCAAGAAAGGCAATGGACTGGGGTAAGGGAGTACCTAAAGGACAGGAAACAAAGGGATATAATCAGAGGATATGTCAGGCTGGAGAGAAGTGAAAAGTGGTGTTCCAGTAGGCTCTATTTTAGGATCATTACTGGTTTTTGAATTTATGAAAATGACCTTGCAGAGTGAACTCGTAGCTCGTATATGTCGATATTTGCAGATGATGCAAAGTTAATGAGAATAACAACTTGTGAGGACTGTAGGATGCTGCAAGAACATCTTCTCAAACTTCAGAAGTGGAGCACATAAATAGCTGTTGGCATTCAATCCAAATAAGTGTAAAGTAATGAAACGGACAAGGGAAATACGAGACCTGTATTTAACTGCACCATAAGGTAAAAGGCAATTACAAGAAATAATACAAGAAAAACACCTGCTAGTAGACATAATCCCAACACCAGAATCTCATACAAACAAAGTTAACACATGTGCAAAGTTAGTACACATAAGAACATCATTTAGGAATCTAAACAAGGAGGCTTTCAAAGTCCATACACTACCTATGTGAGACCATTAAATGAGTATGCAGCACCAGCATGGACCCCACGCCTTGTCAAGTATAAGCAGAAACTTGGGAAAGTTCAGAGGTTTGCAGCTAGATTAGTACCAAAAGTGACAGGCCTTAGCTGCGAGGACAGGTTGAGAGAGCTCGGCCTCACAGCCTCAGGGGAGAGAGCTCGGCCTCACAGCCTCAGGGGAGAGAGCTCGGCCTCACAGCCTCAGGGGAGAGAGCTCGGCCTCACAGCCTCAGGGGAGAGAGCTCGGCCTCACAGCCTCAGGGGAGAGAGCTCGGCCTCACAGCCTCAGGGGAGAGAGCTCGGCCTCACAGCCTCAGGGGAGAGAGCTCGGCCTCACAGCCTCAGGGGAGAGAGCTCGGCCTCACAGCCTCAGGGGAGAGAGCTCGGCCTCACAGCCTCAGGGGAGAGAGCTCGGCCTCACAGCCTCAGGGGAGAGAGCTCGGCCTCACAGCCTCAGGGGAGAGAGCTCGGCCTCACAGCCTCAGGGGAGAGAGCTCGGCCTCACAGCCTCAGGGGAGAGAGCTCGGCCTCACAGCCTCAGGGGAGAGAGCTCGGCCTCACAGCCTCAGGGGAGAGAACTCGGCCTCACAGCCTCAGGGGAGAGAAGTCGGCCTCACAGCCTCAGGGGAGAGAACTCGGCCTCACAGCCTCAGGGGAGAGAACTCGGCCTCACAGCCTCAGAAGTGAGAACTCGGCCTCACAGCCTCAGAGGTGAGAACTCGGCCTCACAGCCTCAGGGGAGAGAACTCGGCCTCACAGCCTCAGAGGTGAGAACTCGGCCTCACAGCCTCAGGGGAGAGAACTCGGCCTCACAGCCTCAGGGGAGAGAGCTCGGCCTCACAGCCTCAGGGGAGAGAGCTCGGCCTCACAGCCTCAGGGGAGAGCGCTCGGCCTCACAGCCTCAGGGGAGAGCGCTCGGCCTCACAGCCTCAGGGGACAGAGCTCGGCCTCACAGCCTCAGGGGAGAGCTCGGCCTCACAGCCTCAGGGTGAGAGCTCGGCCTCACAGCCTCAGAAGTGAGAGAGCCTCAGAAGAGAGAGCTCGGCCTCACAGCCTCAGAAGTGAGAGCTCGGCCTCACAGCCTCAGAAGTGAGAGCTCGGCCTCACAGCCTCAGAAGTGAGAGCTCGGCCTCACAGCCTCAGAAGTGAGAGCTCGGCCTCACAGCCTCAGAAGTGAGAGCTCGGCCTCACAGCCTCAGAAGTGAGAACTCGGCCTCACAGCCTCAGAAGTGAGAGCTCGGCCTCACAGCCTCAGGCTCGGCCTCACAGCCTCAGAAGTGAGAACTCGGCCTCACAGCCTCAGAAGTGAGAACTCGGCCTCACAGCCTCAGAAGTGAGAACTCGGCCTCACAGCCTCAGAAGTGAGAACTCGGCCTCACAGCCTCAGAAGTGAGAACTCGGCCTCACAGCCTCAGAAGTGAGAACTCGGCCTCACAGCCTCAGAAGTGAGAACTCGGCCTCACAGCCTCAGAAGTGAGAACTCGGCCTCACAGCCTCAGAAGTGAGAACTCGGCCTCACAGCCTCAGAAGTGAGAACTCGGCCTCACAGCCTCAGAAGTGAGAACTCGGCCTCACAGCCTCAGAAGTGAGAACTCGGCCTCACAGCCTCAGAAGTGAGAACTCGGCCTCACAGCCTCAGAAGTGAGAACTCGGCCTCACAGCCTCAGAAGTGAGAACTCGGCCTCACAGCCTCAGAAGTGAGAACTCGGCCTCACAGCCTCAGAAGTGAGAACTCGGCCTCACAGCCTCAGAAGTGAGAACTCGGCCTCACAGCCTCAGAAGTGAGAACTCGGCCTCACAGCCTCAGAAGTGAGAACTCGGCCTCACAGCCTCAGAAGTGAGAACTCGGCCTCACAGCCTCAGAAGTGAGAACTCGGCCTCACAGCCTCAGAAGTGAGAACTCGGCCTCACAGCCTCAGAAGTGAGAACTCGGCCTCACAGCCTCAGAAGTGAGAACTCGGCCTCACAGCCTCAGAAGTGAGAACTCGGCCTCACAGCCTCAGAAGTGAGAACTCGGCCTCACAGCCTCAGAAGTGAGAACTCGGCCTCACAGCCTCAGAAGTGAGAACTCGGCCTCACAGCCTCAGAAGTGAGAACTCGGCCTCACAGCCTCAGAAGTGAGAACTCGGCCTCACAGCCTCAGAAGTGAGAACTCGGCCTCACAGCCTCAGAAGTGAGAACTCGGCCTCACAGCCTCAGAAGTGAGAACTCGGCCTCACAGCCTCAGAAGTGAGAACTCGGCCTCACAGCCTCAGAAGTGAGAACTCGGCCTCACAGCCTCAGAAGTGAGAACTCGGCCTCACAGCCTCAGAAGTGAGAACTCGGCCTCACAGCCTCAGAAGTGAGAACTCGGCCTCACAGCCTCAGAAGTGAGAACTCGGCCTCACAGCCTCAGAAGTGAGAACTCGGCCTCACAGCCTCAGAAGTGAGAACTCGGCCTCACAGCCTCAGAAGTGAGAACTCGGCCTCACAGCCTCAGAAGTGAGAACTCGGCCTCACAGCCTCAGAAGTGAGAACTCGGCCTCACAGCCTCAGAAGTGAGAACTCGGCCTCACAGCCTCAGAAGTGAGAACTCGGCCTCACAGCCTCAGAAGTGAGAACTCGGCCTCACAGCCTCAGAAGTGAGAACTCGGCCTCACAGCCTCAGAAGTGAGAACTCGGCCTCACAGCCTCAGAAGTGAGAACTCGGCCTCACAGCCTCAGAAGTGAGAACTCGGCCTCACAGCCTCAGAAGTGAGAACTCGGCCTCACAGCCTCAGAAGTGAGAACTCGGCCTCACAGCCTCAGAAGTGAGAACTCGGCCTCACAGCCTCAGAAGTGAGAACTCGGCCTCACAGCCTCAGAAGTGAGAACTCGGCCTCACAGCCTCAGAAGTGAGAACTCGGCCTCACAGCCTCAGAAGTGAGAACTCGGCCTCACAGCCTCAGAAGTGAGAACTCGGCCTCACAGCCTCAGAAGTGAGAACTCGGCCTCACAGCCTCAGAAGTGAGAACTCGGCCTCACAGCCTCAGAAGTGAGAACTCGGCCTCACAGCCTCAGAAGTGAGAACTCGGCCTCACAGCCTCAGAAGTGAGAACTCGGCCTCACAGCCTCAGAAGTGAGAACTCGGCCTCACAGCCTCAGAAGTGAGAACTCGGCCTCACAGCCTCAGAAGTGAGAACTCGGCCTCACAGCCTCAGAGGTGAGAACTCGGCCTCACAGCCTCAGAAGTGAGAACTCGGCCTCACAGCCTCAGAAGTGAGAACTCGGCCTCACAGCCTCAGGGGAGAGAACTTGGCCTCACAGCCTCAGAAGTGAGAACTCAGCCTCAGAAGTGAGAACTCGGCCTCACAACCTCAGAAGTGAGAACGTGGCCTCACAGCCTCAGAGGTGAGAACTCGGCCTCACAGCCTCAGGGGAGAGAACTCGGCCTCACAGCCTCAGAAGTGAGAACTCGGCCTCACAGCCTCAGAAGTGAGAACTCGGCCTCACAGCCTCAGAAGTGAGAACTCGGCCTCACAGCCTCAGAGGAGAGAACTCGGCCTCACAGCCTCAGAAGTGAGAACTCGGCCTCACACCCTCAGAAGTGAGAACTCGGCCTCACACCCTCAGAAGTGAGAACTCGGCCTCACAGCCTCAGAAGTGAGAACTCGGCCTCACAGCCTCAGAAGTGAGAACTCGGCCTCACAGCCTCAGAAGTGAGAACTCGGCCTCACAGCCTCAGGGGAGAGAACTCGGCCTCACAGCCTCAGAAGTGAGAACTCGGCCTCACAGCCTCAGAAGTGAGAACTCGGCCTCACAACCTCAGAAGTGAGAACTCGGCCTCACATCCTCAGAAGTGAGAACTCGGCCTCACAACCTCAGAAGTGAGAACTCGGCCTCACAGCCTCAGAAGTGAGAACTCGGCCTCACAACCTCAGAAGTGAGAACTCGGCCTCACATCCTCAGAAGTGAGAACTCGGCCTCACATCCTCAGAGGAGAAAACTCAGCCTCACAGCCTCAGAGGACAGAACTCGGCCTCACAGTCTCAAAGGACAGAACTCGGCCTCATAACCTAGGAGAGAAGAAACAAAGAGGACATAATAACTATGTAAAAGTTCTTGAGGAGATTCAACAAAACAAAGAAAACCTATTTAAATTAAAAAACGTTATGACAAGGTGACAAGGTCTCTCACCTGAAGCACCTCCAAAGGATACCTGATCAACCAGGCTGTGACTCATACGTCAGGCTGCGAGCAGCCGCGTCCAACAGCCTGGTTGATCAGTCCGGCAACCAGGAGGCCTGGTCGACGACCGGGCCGCGGGGACACTAAGCCCCGGAAGCACCTCAAGGTAGCCTCAAGGTAGGTAGGTAGACAATGGTGGAAGCTGGACACATAGCCGAGTAGAAGAGATGTAGGAAGTTTTTGTTCCCTATACGGATGGTCGCAGGTGTAATGCCTTGCAGGATGAGGTTGCTGAAGTCAATTTCATCCTCAACATTAAGAACAAATATGATGAAGATGTTAACATTAAGAAAGATAATTAGTGCGTTAGGTATAAACAACTGGGAGGGTGGGCACAAAGAGCTAGACGTCACTCCCCAGTAGTCGCTGATAGGCAAGCACAAGCCCAGTGCTCCACACACCTCCACACACCACCGAGGTTAGGGGCCTCCACGCACCACCGAGGTTAGGGGCCTCCACGCACCACCGAGGTTAGGGGCCTCCACGCACCACCGAGGTTAGGGGCCTCCACGCACAACCGAGGTTAGGGGCCTCCACGCACCACCGAGGTTAGGGGGCCTCGTAGCCTGGTGGATAGCGTTCAGGACTCGTAATTCTGTGGCGCAGGTTCGATTCCCGCACGAGGCAGAAACAAATGGGCAAAGTTTCTTTCACCCTGAATGCCCCTGTTACCTAGCAGTAAATAGGTACCTGGGAGTTAGTCAGCTGTCACGGGCTGCTTTCTGGGGTGTGTGTGTGTGTGGTGTGGGGGAAAAAAAAAAAAAAAAAAAAAAAAAAAAAGTAGTTAGTAAACAGTTGATTGACAGTCGAGAGGCGGGCCGAAAGAGCAAAGCTCAACCCCCGTAAAAACACAACTAGTAAACACACAAACACACGGCACACAATATAAAATCAAATATTCCATGAGCAAATAATCTGTCCCTCCTTACCAAAGCTTAGCGTAAATGCTTTCTTCTCTGGGCTGTAGCGTAAGACACAAAACGCGTCAAAGCTGGGGCCGTATGCGAGAGCGATGCTCTTGTAGTTGAACGACCTCACCCGCACCATCTCGTTTAGGGTTTTAGGGTTGGCTATGTTGCTGCTACTGCTACTGCTGCTTCCCGCCGATTCCACACCAGCTGCATGACATGACTTGATTAACTTAACCCATACAAACCTACACAAATTGGAGTTATTTTGCACAATAATTTGATTTAAAACTTTATTTACAATCTCCCCAGTAAAACACTGAATAAGCAGGGAGTAAGGTATTCACTAGAAACATTAAAAAAGCTAATTTTTAACAAATGATACAATACCAGACAATTTGACTGCTGCAACAACAGTCCTATAGTTACAACAGTTAAGTCATATACTACATTTGTGTCCACAAATATCAAATGCTTTTGTATGTGATTATCTGTAAACAGAATGGACGCACATTTCTGGTTCACCACCAACTGAATACATTATCATATGTTCTCCCCTACAAAAGTACTCCAATGTTCAATTCAAAGTATGTTTGATGAAACATACTCAGAGCATAAATTAGGTGCATCTTATACACAGGCAAATACTGTACAGATATCCCAGTAACAGCCTCTAGGTTTCCAGAGACCTGCATGAGATAAATAAATAATATTCTCAATAGTTGTGCACACCAAGCCCGACCGATCGTTGCCAGTTTCTTCTTCTGTACAGGACGTGCAGTTGGTGCGACGGTTCCTCCTCCCGATGACTGCCAGTTACCAGTTTACATAAAGTAATATAACCGAATGAAAACAAACGAATAAGCACTGATTGACGTTAAAAACATTTTGAGCAAAGAATTAAGAAACTAACAGAGAAAGAGATGACCACAGCATGAATACACTTTACAGCAAAATGTCAAATAGAAAGCTGCCTGAAGACAAACTTGCCACTACCTGTTGTCTACCAGTTGGTTGTTGCTTCAGGGAATCAACGTCCCCGAGGCCCAGTCTCTGGCAAGGGGCCACCTGGTTGGTTGTCTCGTCAACCAAACTGTTGGGTGTAGCTGCTCACAGCCTGATGTATGAATCAGCCTGGTTGATCAGGTATCTTTCGGAGGTATTTACCAAGTACTCTCTTGAACACATAGGAATATGCCTCTCCCCCCCCCCCCCCCTTCAGTAAACTTACTGACAGGCATAATCTGTGTAAGAATATGCAGAAAACTTCTCAGGTGATATAAGGTAAGTCAAGCAGCAAAAACAAAACCCACACAACACCGAACAAAACATTACATCGGGAGCATAATTACAAGGCATCAGTTGGGACCGTACCTCGCTACTTGGCTTAACGTAAACCATATGTTAATGGTCTGAAGAAATCACCCATCACACAAACCTCACCATCACTTGGCACAACCCCCCAAAAAAATTATATAACCCCTTGTGCCTTCTACAAAAAATGTAATCCCCGTGGCGTAGTGGTAAGACGCTCACTTGGTGTTTCGCAAGCGCTTTGTCCTAGGTTCATATCCTGGCCAGGGAGGATTGATTGGGCACAAATCCTCAACTGTCACCTCTGTTCATCCAGCAGATAATGGGTACCTGGTTGCTAAATAAATTGGCAGGTCATATTCCGGGAAATATTAGGATTAAGGACCTGCCAGAAATGCTATGCGTGCTAGTGGCTGTACAAGAATGTAAGAACTCTTGTACTGTGTATGTATGTATGTGTATATATATATATATATATAATAATAATAATTTATTAAATGGTAAAAAATTATCACACCTCTGGATGCCGATAACTGCGCTGCAAATTGTAGAACCAGCTGGTAGAGTCTGGAGATGGTGGTCCAGTCGGCCAAGATAGCATCCACGGTGGTGCTGACGTGTTCAGCACTCGTGACCTCGTATGTAAAGTACGCTGCTCGACGGGGACCCTGTTCTCTTGAGTGCAAACTCGTGACCGGACAATTGGTGAATAGATATTCCATGCCAAAGACCCGTGATCCTGTGAATTGCTGGGAAAAGGAGACACACACGCTGTTGAACAAGTACACTGGCTCCGCAATAGGTTTTGAATCTAGATGAGGAATAATTTCCTCAACACTTTAAGAGCGCTGAAATAACTTACACTTGAAAATAATCAATTAATGGAAAGTTGTCTTTACATATGCCTTTCTTTTGAGGGGGATATTATAAGTGCAGATTCTTACCCTTGTTAGTGGCAAAAATTGTAACTACAAAACAGAAATTGATTCAATGCCACACCGTCACCCTTTAAAAACGTGGTTAGAAAAGTATGCCTGACTAGCATAAAATACTTATAAGGGTTATTAACAGCCTAAGGCTTAAGCATGATTATTATTATTATTATTATTATTATTATTATTATTATTATTATTATTATTTTTAATTTTTAGACTAATAAATGCTTAATAGTAGCACTTAATAGTAGTAGTAGGCTAATAACCTGCTTACAACTCTACAGTCATGTCACTGATAACACAGACCCTTTTACACCGAGCAGCCCTTAAGATTTACTTCAGTTCAAATGTTACACAGTACCCCAGAGCACAGGGCCCTCACAACTGCACATACCCAAGCTATAGCAGCCTGTATGCGAATGGCTGCCGATAACAGGTGCTTCCGCAGAGTGAAGACGGTGTCCAAAGAGAGCCCCTCAGTGGTGGGCAGGTCTATCAGCCTCAGGAGAACACCCATCCCTCCTTCCTCTACTTGTTCTCCCGTGTTGAACACATTCCGTTCACGAAGCTGTTCAGTAGATTGGATTACACAATTATAGCAACAACCATAGACAAAAGTCCTTTACAATACTCCGTAAGTCATTTACAAAATACCGAAAACAAATGGGTTTATCCCCTAGAGGACAAATACTGTACTCTACTCTAGTCCCTCAACCCCTTGTGGGTCATTAGAGGCCTGGTGCATCTCCCATGGCTAGGACATTTCCAGATTGCAGCATCGGGAAGTACTGCTGAGAGGGTCCTACTAGAAAAAACCAGCGTTGAATGTAATGAAATGCCATTTTCTGGGAGTGACCCGGAGGCTCCCCGGAGCTTACTAGGCTGATATGCTAATGTCAGACTTTGGCATCAGTCATGTGTATGGAGTTCTGTGGGCCTACCGAGGACCACGAGCCAGAACCTGGCTCCCTCAGACAGGCATGGGCTGCAACGGCCTATAGAAACGCCCTTGTGGTTGGAAGCATTCTATGTCTGCCATCGACCGGATCTGGCACCCAGAAAGGTAAGTATCCCAAAACAAACCCCTTTTCTGGTGAAAATATTGCTACCAAAAGCCGAACAAGTGGATAGAACTCCCCTAAAAAAAACAAGCAAACGAGCATGACATTACAGTAGCGCCGCTGTCTATGCAGCTCCCCCCTCCCCAAGAGGGGGAAGGGGGAAGGGGAAGCACCAGACCCCTCACGCCGGCTATCCATCCTTCAGTTCTGAGGCTGGATGTCAAAACATGCGAAAAACCGCCGACCGGAGGGAGGGAAGGATGCCAGAGCGCCTCCAGGTCACACCCAGAAAATGGCGTTTCATTACATTCAACGCTGGTTATCTGGGGGAAGCCCCGTCGGCTCCCTGGAGCTAACTACCCACATTGGAAAAAGAATAGGGACTTACCCGGGAGGTGGTCGCTGCTCACTCCTCAACTCAAAGTCGAGACAACTGGCTGCAATCACCGACCCAGAGCGACACAGGCCCGACTACCCTGGAACGTTTACGAGGTAACGAGCAGCCAGGACCCTGTTCAACCACCAAAAGCCCTGTGCCCGAATGTCAGCCAAGGACATGTTGCCAAAGACGGCAACAAGAGCAGCGAATTTACGAACGTCATGGGCACGGGGATAAACCGCAGGCTGGCTAGCCTTAATAACTCTGCGGGCGACCTGGGAGACCCGCACCCGCGAACAGGCCAGAAAAGAAGGAGATGGCTGCAGATGAACAAAACCATCACAAAGATCGAAGGAGCAGAAACCCCTGTGCCGGAGGAGAGCATGAAGCTCTCCAACCCAACCCCCAGAGACTAATGCCAAAAAAAAAAAAAAAAAAAAAAGTCTTGGAGAAACAATCCTGAACCGAAGGGGCCACAACAAACCGAGGAGAAGAAAGAAAAGAGAGCACTCTATCCAACGACCAGAACGGCTCAGGTGGCACATGAGCAGACCGGCGCATGAGCTCTTACCCTAAGGTAAACAGGACGACAAAACCCCCAAGCACCCGAAGGGGCAGGCGAAAAACAGAGCAGGAATACGGCCTAGTAGAGGCAGGCCCCGAGGAACTTGTGGAAGGTGGCCCCAAGCTCCAAGGGCAGTACAGTACTTACTGGGCACCTAGGGACGATAACCCTAGGCACATGCAGCCCGAGTACTGTAGAGTAACTCCTGGCTCTCGCACCCCTGGAAGACAGCCACCACACTCAAAGCACAGTGCTGGAACCACTGGAGCCAAGCACACGACCTCAGCCTCTAACATCAGCCTTAGAACTGAAGGGTGGATAACCGGCATGGGGGTCTGGGGCTCCCCCTGGTTACTTATTGGGAGCTGCGCAGACAGCAACGCGGCAACGTGTGATGTCATGTTCGTCTGCTCGTTTCTTTTAGAGGAGTTCTATCCACTTTTTCGGCTTTTGGTAGCAATATTTTCACCAGAATAGGGGTTTGTTTTGGGATGCTTACCTTTCTGGGTGTCTGACCTGGTCGATGGCAGACATAGAATGCTTCCAACCACACGGGGGTTTCTATAGGCCATTGCTCCCCTTGCCTCTCTGTGGAGGCCAGGTTCTGGCTCGTGGTCCCCGGTAGGCCCACAGAACTCAATACACATGACTGATGCCGAAGTCTGACATTAGCACATCAGCCTAGTAAGCTCCGGGGAGCCGAATAGGCTCCCCCAGAAAAAACGGGAAAGAGAGGGAAGGAAGTTTAAACAACGTTAAACTATACAGTACTTAGAAAGGGCACCTTGTGAAAAAACACAAAATAAGTTACGATAAAGTATTTAGGCCACGCGAGACACCGCACCTTAAGTGAGAGATGTGTGAGAGGGAGCTTCATGTCACTCATTGCAATGCACTGAGCAACATCCGGCAAGAAGTACGCCGGCACCTTCACCCGCTTGCTGGCGGGTTCCCCGCGTTGCTGCAACTTGCGCTTCCCACCCAAGGCTCTCTCCCCAGGTTCAACAACTGCAACAATACATACATGTTAGTAGAAGCGGCAATCAACTAAACAAGAAAACTCTATATAATGAAATCTAATGAACAGGATCCATTTATGAGGAAATATTAAGGTTGTATGTTGGGACCAAACACACATACCTCGACTTCCCAAGCACATTTACTACCATCTGAACCGTAATGAGCTACTTTTCAGCACATCACGGTTCAGTCGGTAATGCAAATGCCTTGGGAGTCTTTGGGATGTGATTTGGATACTACTGAAAGGTCTCAATATCTTTTTAAAGAAAAACTATAAACAAATATTGAGAAGACATAAGAAGTCATGTCAGCTTTCTCATGATTGTGTCCCCCCCCCCCCCAGAAATTATCATTAAGCAGTGGAAATATATAAAATCTTACCATCAACTTTGGTAGATGGTCCGTGAGTGCAGACAAACGAGTCCAGCTTCACCAGATCGTATGCACGCATGTACGACTTGGGCAGGGAGGTCTGAACTGTGTCGTCATCAGGGTTGTCCTCGATGCTGGCTTGCTTCACCACCATGAAATAGAGGTTCTGCTCGACTTCACAGGGGCTTCCCTCTTTCTCGTTGAACTCCACAATCTGCTCGGGCAGAAAGATTGCGGCCATTTTATTCTATCTAGCTCCCAAATACTGTATAAATAGCAAATATACAACCCACCATTATCTGCTATAGTGCCTTGCCTTAGTCCATCTCAGCAACATCTCCCGCTCAATTATTCTACCATGTGTCTTTCATGTTCACAATGTCTAGTCTAGCCATTATTCTCTTAAGTAAAGCAGCAAACATGAGTGATGCTGCAGTATGAGCAAGCCATACAGCACCTGAGTTCAGCATTCCACTTCAACTGATTTTTCAGGCATCCTTGTGTACAGGAGTTGTAGCTGATGTGTGGAAAAAGGCTAACATAGCTCCAATCTACAAAAGTGGAAACAGGGAAGACCCCCTTAATTATAGACCTGTATCATTGACAAGTGTAATAGTCAAAATACTGGAAAAAAATTAAAACTAAATGGGTAGAACACCTGGAGGAAAACGATATAATATCAGACAGATAGTATGGTTTTCGATCTGGAAGATCCTGTGTAATGAACTTGCTCAGTTTTTATGATCGAGCCACAGAGATTTTACAGGAAAAAAATGGTTGGGTTGACTGCATCTATCTGGACCTAAAAAAGGCTTTTGACAGAGTTCCTCATAAGAGATTGTTCTGGAAACTGGAACATATTGGAGGAGTGACAGGTAAGCTTCTATTATGGATGAAAAATTTCCTAACTGACAGAAAAATGAGGGCCGTAATCAGAGGCAAGGTATCGGATTGGAGGAATGTCACGAGTGGAGTACCTCAGGGTTCAGTTCTTGCACCGGTAATGTTCATTGTCTACATAAATGATCTACCAGTGGGAATACAGAATTACATGAACATGTTTGCTGATGATGCTAAGATAATAGGGAAGATAAGAAACCTAGATGATTGTCATGCCCTTCAAGAAGACCTGGACAAAATAAGTATATGGAGCAACACTTGGCAAATGGAATTTAATGTGAATAAATGCCATGTTATGGAATGTGGAATTTGAGAACATAGACCCCACACAACCTATAAATTATGTGAGAAATCTTTAAAGAATTCTGACAAAGAAAGGGATCTAGGGGTGGTTCTATATAGAAAACTGTCAACTGAGGACCACATTAAGAACATTGTGCGAGGAGCCTAGGCAACACTTTCTAACCTCAGAATTGCTTTTAAATACATGGATGGAGAAATACTAAAGAAATTGTTCACGACTTTTATTAGACCAAAGCTGGAATATGCAGCGGTTGTATGGTGCCCATATCTTAAGAAGCACATCAACAAACTGGAAAAAGTGCAACGACATGCCACTAAGTGGCGTCCAGAACTGAAGGACAAGAGCTACGAGGAGAGGTTAGAGGCATTAAATATGCAAAAACTAGATGATAGAAGAAAAAGAGGTGATATGATCACTACCTTCAAAATAGTAACAGGAATCGATAAAATTGATAGGGAAGAATTCCTGAGACCTGGAACTTCAAGAACAAGAGGCCAAAGATTTAAACTAACGAAACAAAGCTGTCGGAGAAATATACGAAAATTCACTTTTGTGAACAGAATGGTAGACGGTTGGAACAAGTGAGAAGGTGGAGGAGGCCAAAACCGTCAGTAATTTCAAAGCATTATATGACAGAGTGCTGGGGAGACGGGACACCACGAGCATAGCTCTCATCCTGTAACTACACTTAGGTAATTACTCCCTCAGTGTGAGTTTAAAGAAGCAAATCATCAAAAGAAATACTACCCCTCCCCTCCCCTCCCTTTACTTCCTAAATGATGACCTAATCTGATAACATTCCAAGCTTTATATTTCCAAATAAAATAAAAACTAAGGAAAAGGGTAGACCTGAAAGATGGATGTCCACTCACCACGACATATCCAGGGTGCTTGTGGAAGGTGATGAAGACCTTGTGTTTTCCCAGGGTATTGAGCGGGTGGGACGTATAGTACATGAGTGGGAGGTGCTCGTGGGCCGTCGCTGGCAAGTGTTGCAGCGTCTTTTCTGTTCTCCGCAGCATCAACCAGTACCTGCAAGAGACCAAAACATTGCAACAAAGGATGAAGAGTCTATATCAGAGGGTACCTTAACCCCTTTACACGGTCCCAATCGCTTTCTGTGATTTCCTCCTGTCCTCGAATGATTGCTCCTGACCTGAGGGATGAGGAGGACTGACAGCTGAGTGGACAGCGCTCGGGATTCGTAGTCCTAAGGTTCCGGGTTCGATCCCGGGTGAAAGCGGAAACAAATGGGCAGGATTTCTTTTGCCCTGATGCCCCTGTTACCAGTAAATAGGTACCTGGGAGTTAGACAGATGCTACGGGGCTGCTTCCTGGGGATGCTTCCTGTAACAAAAAGGAGGCCTGGTCGAGGACCGGTCCACGGGGACCGGGCCCCCGAAATCATCTCAAGATAACCGCAAGATAGATAACCTCCTTATTGGTTTGCAGTACTTAAGTCATTAAAGGGGTAACTTAGGGTTACCTTGAGGTGGTTCCAAGGTTCAATGTCCTCACACCCTGGTCTCTGACCAGTACAATATATACTATTCTACAAATACTACTGACCAATAATAATAATTATAAATTTTTGCATTAGGCTCTATTAACATATTTAACAAATTAACACTTACAAATTCAGCTTTTCCTAGGACACATAGTGACTTGCTGAGGCTAGTGATGGCAAGCCACCAAAGGCCTCCACTAGAGTGGTACTTCATTATGTTCAACTGTTTTTGTCTCTGTCTCTGTCAGTCTCTCATTCTCATTCTCTCTCTTTCTCTCTCTCTCTCTCTCTCTCTCTCTCTCTCTCTCTCTCTCTCTCATTCTCTCTCTCTCTCTCTCATTCTCTCTCTCTCTCTCTCATTCTCTCTCTCTCTCTCTCATTCTCTCTCTCTCTCTCTCTCATTCTCTCTCTCTCTCTCATTCTCTCTCTCTCTCTCTCATTCTCTCTCTCTCTCTCTCTCTCTCTCTCTCTCTCTCTCTCTCTCTCTCTCTCTCTCTCTCTCTCTCTCTCTCTCTCTCTCTCTCTCTCTCTCTCATTCTCTCTCTCTCTCTCTCTTCTCTCTCTCTCTCTCATTCTCTCTCTCTCTCTCATTCTCTCTCTCTCTCTCATTCTCTCTCTCTCTCTCATTCTCTCTCTCTCTCATTCTCTCTCTCTCTCTCATTCTCTCTCTCTCTCTCTCTCTCTCTCTCTCTTCTCTCTCTCTCTCTCATTCTCTCTCTCTCTCTCATTCTCTCTCTCTCTCTCATTCTCTCTCTCTCTCTCATTCTCTCTCTCTCTCTCATTCTCTCTCTCTCTCTCTCTCTCTCTCTCTCTCTCTCTCTCTCTCTCTCTCTCTCTCTCTCTCTCTCTCTCTCTCTCTCTCTCTCTCTCTCTCTCTCTCTCTCTCTCTCTCTCTCTCTCTCTCTCTCTCTCTCTCTCTCTCTCATTCTCTCTCTCTCTCTCATTCTCTCTCTCTCTCTCTCTCTCTCTCTCTCTCTCATTCTCTCTCTCTCATTCTCTCTCATTCTCTCTCATTCTCTCTCATTCTCTCTCATTCTCTCTCATTCTCTCTCATTCTCTCTCATTCTCTCTCATTCTCTCATTCTCTCTCTCTCTTTTTTTTTATATTACAGTATAATATACCTTAAGTGTACATGTTACAGAGAACAAAGAATAGAGCACAGAGAAATACATCTTTTACACAACAGTTACACAGACAAAAGATTTACAACTAATTCCTTTGAAGGAAACTATTAATTGAATAATTAAGGCTGGGACGTCATTTGGAATACAATTTAAATTGTGACAAAATATTAAGAAACAGGAGAATACAAACTACAAAAATAAAAAATGAGTTCTTGGACAATGGCTTTGACATGATGTAAGCACAAACAAATTACGAATATTTTAATGTGGCGCATAAGGGTTTTAATGTGATATAAACACAAACTCTGAATATTAAGTGTGAGCTCTTGGAGTAGGGTTTTAATGTGATATAAACACAAACTCTGAATATTAAGTGTGAGCTCTTGGAGTAGGGTTTTAATGTGATATAAACACAAACTCTGAATATTAAGTGTGAGCTCTTGGAGTAGGGTTTTAATGTGATATAAACACAAACTATGAATATCAAGTGTGAGCTCTTGGAGTAGGGTTTTAATGTGATATAAACACAAACTATGAATATCAAGTGTGAGCTCTTGGAGTAGGGTTTTAATGTGATATAAACACAAACTCTGAATATTAAGTGTGAGCTCTTGGAGTAGGGTTTTAATGTGATATAAACACAAACTATGAATATCAAGTGTGAGCTCTTGGAGTAGGGTTTTAATGTGATATAAACACAAACTCTGAATATTAAGTGTGAGCTCTTGGAGTAGGGTTTTAATGTGATATAAACACAAACTATGAATATCAAGTGTGAGCTCTTGGAGTAGGGTTTTAATGTGATATAAACACAAACTCTGAATATTAAGTGTGAGCTCTTGGAGTAGGGTTTTAATGTGATATAAACACAAACTATGAATATCAAGTGTGAGCTCTTGGAGTAGGGTTTTAATGTGATATAAACACAAACTCTGAATATTAAGTGTGAGCTCTTGGAGTAGGGTTTTAATGTGATATAAACACAAACTATGAATATCAAGTGTGAGCTCTTGGAGTAGGGTTTTAATGTGATATAAATACAAACTATGAAAATGAAGTGAGAACTCTCAGAGTAGGGTTCTGACATGATGCGACTATAAATACAAACAGGAGCTCAGAGAACCGTCACCTTACCTTAGTTCTGAAATCAAGTCATCGACTTTGGACTTGTCGTTGTTAAGTGCGTGCTGCAGGTCTGGGATTTTGGGGCAATTATCATACTGTGGGACATGGGCCAGGAGGACGCCCGTGTGCGTGTCCACAGTAATCAACAGCTGCTCGGACCGGAGGTTGGGCTGCAGTATAGGTACGTGTAGCATAGCAGGAGAGCCACTCAGCTGACCTGCATACAAATTTAAAAAAAAAAAATGTTAACAGCAGCTTCACTGTTTCTCATTAACCTATGCATGCTATTTCTGCCCCTGTAACTCTACTACACGGGGAAAACTGAGGAGCACACATTTGTTCCACAGCACTAATATAATGAATATGTTACAGCTTATGAGGCAAGATGTGGACACTGGTTCATGCATGTATACTTCAAGACTAGAGGGCAACACTCAAGCTCAAGATGTACACACACTTAAATTACAGTACATCATTTTTGACTTCATGTAACCTATGAGGCAAACATCTGGAACTTATACACAACTCTTACATAATACCTGTACCCGCCTAGTTGTGCTTGTGGGGGTGTGGTGGGGAGGGGGGGGGGGTTGAGCTTCAGCTTTATGTGTTCACTTAAAAGTGTTTTCCTCTTCTCTGTGCTGGGCCTGGTGACTGCCCAATCAACAAGGATGTTTGTGTTAACAGCCCAGAAACAATACACTCCAGCTGATCCACTGTCTACTGAAGAAATGTGTCCCATTTTCTCTTGAAGGCACTTATGTTTCAGCATTATTTTGTTATAAATTGCCGGAAGGCGATTAAAGAATAATGGTGTCCTCTAATTTTTTACGGTGTTCACCATCATTTCATCTAACCCACCTTGAGATTATCTCGAGATGATTTCGGGGCTTAGCGTCCCCGCGGCCCGGACCTCGACCAGGCCTCATTTTTGTTACACATCCCCAGCAAGCAGCCCCGTAACAGATGTCTAACTCCCAAGTACCTATTTACTGCTAGGTGAACAGGAGCATCAGGGTGAAATAAACTTTGCCCATTTGTTTCCACCTCCACAAAGATTGAACCCGGAACTTTAGGACTATGAATCCCAAGCGCTGTCCACTCAGCTGTCAGGCCCCATCCTCACACAATACAATTTTTTTTATGAAAGTGACCAATCCATTAAAGAATTTATTATTTATACAAATTAAAGCAAAATAACATCAAGATTTTCTATGTATCGGCCTTGAGTGGTTAGTTGGGCTGCACGGGTTCGTTCATACATTTCTAGTTAGACAAAACAGTTGAGTTTTATACAGTGGCAAATTGAGAGAACTGACTGTTTCATTGGGCTTATTCTATGCTGTTTACTTTATCTCTCACTTCAGTACTGTACATTGTAATTTGAATGTCGCTTATTTGAAACATTAAGCTTCAAGTATTTTCCGAATGCAGATTATGAGAAAGCTTGTCTGCCCCTTAAGGTCAACTTCTCTCAAGAGGCCTTGGCTCAGGTAGTGTACAGGCTTTGACTCCCATGCAGGGCCCAGTAGTTGGGGGGTAGACTTGGTGTTTAATGGTTTTGGTGACATGGAGTTTGGGTTCACCGTCTGCTTGTGGTCTATTAGCTGCTTGAGTTCTTCCTTACTGCACTTTCCCAGATCGGGGGTTGGTGTATGTTTTGCGTGTGTCCCCCTGTACCTGGCTTTCCAGCAGGTGGCGGTATAATCCCTTGCAAGTCTTGCGTGGTCTGGGATAGCTATGGGCCTTCCCATTGAGCCTGCTGCTGCTGAGCGCGCTGTCACAACGAATTTCACACGAGGTCTCTTCTCTATTATTATCCATTTAATTATTAGTTAATATATCAAATTATTATACAAGATGGAACCGACAGGCACACAAGTGGTTTTTGTGGATGTTATGCTGTTTTATTGTGTACCAACAGTCATCCTTTCTGTCTCCACCTGTGGTAGCCTGCAAGTGTTGCATAGGCGGGATAAGGAGTTTTCTAGTGCTCGTGGCCCTCTTCCAGGAATGCTCTAGTGTAGTTATCTTCATCTGGACTGTAGTCAGTCGGATTTCTTCTTCCTCTTCCCTATAATTCAGCTCCTCTTTATCCTCTCCAAACTAGAGACGTTTTTCCGCAGGTTAGTCCTTTTGGCCCTTTGTGGCCAGCTCGGCCTTGGTTTTCAGGTCTTTTTGGTTCGGTGTCTAAACCCGCCCATTTTCCGCAGATATACCTGTTTTAGGTGATCAGATGGGAGAAGTTTCTTAATGGCTTGAGGCCCTCAGTCGATCTTTGCATTTTAATCTTTTGAGTTTTATTTCCCCATCTGTATAGAGTTCAGGAAGCGGATCTTATGGAGTTGCATAGATCCATGACTTTCCAGCGACATTATGAGCGACTTGATGACCATTCCTAATTCTTCTCTTTTCATTGCCTGTCTTTGGTGTTGGTTCTAGTCGGTTTGTCTTTTCTGTCGTGGCTGTTGGTCAATAATGGTCTCCTGCCTCATGCGATTGCTTCCGCTTGGTCAGCTTTGGCACAGCCAAAGTCTTTGGCCTTTAGTGTTGATATTTTGTCTTCGCCGTTTCAGAAGTTGTCTCGTACCTTTTTTCATCTCTGGTACATATGAAGTGATGGTCTTGTTTCATGCAGGTTGGCGTTCATTCCCCCGACCGTCCAAGTGGTTGGGCACCATTCCTTTCCCTCCGCCCCATCCCAAATTCCTTATCCCTCACCCACCTGTACACACACCTGGTCTGGAGGCCTGGTCGACGACCGGGCCGCGGGGTCGCTGAGCCCCGGAATCACCTCAAGGTAACCTCCCCAGTGCTATATAGTCGTGATGGCTTGGCGCTTTCTCCTGATACTTCCCCTCTTCCCCTCTTTCTCCTGATACTCTTCCCCTCTGGCCTGATACTTCTCCCCAGTTGGTAGTGCATTTTCCAGGGTAATCCTGTGATGCGGGTTCCACACCATTCGTTCAGCCTCAATATTTTATCGAAAGATACATCCCAATCTCGTTATTTCACTGTGTTCTCCAAAATTAAGAATTGCTTACTAACATCAAATTATAAACACAAAAGTGACCAAGGATTGCTATCATCCTCTTCTGGATCAATATAAAAAGTTAATTTTCGGGGCAAATATATTATGTATTTCAGGAATCCTTCTGAGAATAACTAATGATAATGCCTAGTCATCACTGTAACTCGCAGAGCAGCCATCATGGGCCTGCTACTTTAATAATGATTGTAACTCAACCATTAACAATGGACTTTGGCTAAAATATAACAACACTTACATTTCTCGGCATCACTACCCAATTTGGAATCCATGTATTGCTTAAGCTCCGAGAGTCGCGCCTTCGTTCGAAGGTAGATTGTGTGTACCAACAGCCGTTCGATAGACAGATGATCACTGCGAATGGCGCGTTCAGCGATTTCCGATTCCTGAAACAATTATGCACCAGTGTCACTACAACCACTAAGCTACTTCCCAGTTACCAGGAAGACAGTCACCTTAAAATGACAGAAGAGTTGCATGGAAGAACTCGCACAAACAGTTCCAACCCATCCTCTCACCTAATACATCACTTTCTAATGGAATCAACCAATCCATTATAAATATAATCCATTCAAAAATATAAAATTACTAATAGATGTATTAGTCAAAATTAAAACAGTCTTATATTGACATTTACGGAACATTAGCCTCAATAGGATAGGCAAGCTACTACGGTTTGTACATTTCGGGTTAGGTAGAACAACTGCATTTTCAATGGAGTGACAAGTCAAGAATATGAAGCTATCTTCTTCAGTGCATTTTAAATACAAGTAACAATCATACAAAGTATTCAGCAAGATTTGAAATATTTCATAGAATAAAATGTGCCTTGTGTACCTCAAGATACCTTAAATCACATTTCACTAGAATCACTTTCTTAAACTCGGTGACCTCGCAGAAACATCGAGTGTATGTGTCACAAGCTACATATAGACGTTTTACTCCATATAACCTACAACATTCTTGGATTTCAATTCAGTACTGTATATGGCATTCTAATTTTCTGTACAGGTATTGGCAAAAATTCATTATGAAAAATGTTCTACTTGAATGTTAATCATAATCGTGTACCTTTGAGCCAAGGGACGGAGTATGGAAAACAATGAGGGGTTTTGAAGGTTCTGTTGGATCAACTTGCACCGTCAGCCTGTACCCCAGCTGAACTGATGGATCGTGTTGGGTCAGCTCTCTCCAGTAGGTGAGCGTCAGCGAGCGACCCTGCAGGTACTCTTCAATGCGGATGTGAGTATCCAGCCGATCCTCTAAAAGCTGCCAGGAAAAAAATATTTTGTCAATAATGACCCAATAAGTAACTAGTAAAACAATAAAGCTATGATCTTTAGTTTAAATGTTATCATTCATCACATATTGTACATTATAATGTATAAATTGACCACGTGTCATTATTACCGAGTTAATGTAGTAAAGCATAAACGAAACAAGTCTGTGCACTGTGCAAATTGATTGACTGAAGAAGATTAAGCCACCCAAGAGGTGGAATGGGCATGAATAGCTCGTAATGAACTGTGCAGGCTGGCTCGACTTAATGACACTGCAGACGACCTGAGAGAGACCTTGTAACAGGGAATCAAGGTACCAGGATCAACCTACAGATAATCGACCAACACAGAACCTTTGGCACAAAGGTCGGTGCAACAAGCCGCCACCAGACAAAAATGTTGGTAGCAGCTGGATCAACCAAGTATCAATGACCAAAGGACCCCTTCGGTAGCCAACAGACTTTTTCTTCACCAGAAAAGGAGGAGCTGCCTGCAGGCAAACAAACTGCCCACCGGGAAAAAGAGACCAAGACCAGACCTTGTGCCAGAGGAGTTTATGAAGCTCTTCCACCCGACAACCAGAGGCGAGAGGAATCAAGAACAAATCCTTCAACAAACTATCCAGAACCAAAGGAGAAACTGTAAATCAAGCAGACAAATGAAAACAAAGAACATGGATTTGAAGCATGCAGGCTCAGGCGGTGCAGGAGCAGGCCGGATGTGAAACAGATCAGTGCTCCCCCCCCCCAAATAAGACTTCAATCACGCCAAGACCTGGAGACACTGTCGTGCTGGGGAAAAAAGAGAGATACAGAATCCCCCATGTCGTCCAGTACAGCTGAAAGACATCTACCACAAGGACCTAGTAATCAGGGAATGGCCAGAAAGAGGAAGATGCCAAGACCACGGTGGAGCAAAGTGGTCTACATCCGAACGCCAAAATTCTCGCAAAGCCACAGGAAGGAAGTGGCATTGACAATCCACTCCGTGGAGATGGGAAGGAACTGGGACACACCATCTGCAAGACCACTGGACACTCCCTGGATATGAACAGTACGGAGAACCAAGCCCCAAGAACTCAACACACACACACAAACTACACACAATCCAGCTTCAAAGAGACAAGAAACGAAGTGAACCCCTCCAGCTGAGACAATGAATCGTGGGAGAACAGTACGAATGGAGCCAGATCAAAACACCCAAAGAAATCTGAACTTTCTGCTGCACCTGCCACGCTTAGGGCCCGCGCAGGAATTCCCCTGGAAAAAAAAACTGCCACACAGCTGCAAGCTACTGAACCATACTGTAGCTCCCGACAAACGAGTGGTGACCAATGAGCACTGCCGGCCTGGTGAGCACTGGTCACAAAGCCCCAACCTAGGGAGGATGCATCTGTGAGTATGTCGAGCGAAGGCAGAGGATCGCCCTATGGAAACAAACGCCAAAAACCTGAAGAGGAAACGGGTGATGCAGCAACCGGTGACGGACCAACAGAGTCTGCACCCAGCGATTGTGGCAACAGCAGAAGGGGCTGCCCCAGAACAGCCTCCAAAGCCAAATCCCTGCTTAGGAGGTACACCAGAACAGCAAAGTTTAGGCTCCCACACACAGCCTGTCAACATGCAAGGCTTGTGGCAAACAATATGGCCACTACCTCCCTGAGAATAGTGGCATTCAGCTGATGCCCCAGCAGTACCAGTGGCCAAGACAGCCGCAAGAGACATCGCACCATCTGGTTATAATCTGGAAGAAAATGAGGTTGAAGCAGTTGAAACGCCTGATTTCAGGAGAGGTCATTATGGGGAACTCAGACATTTCTTTAAGGAATTTGACTGTAAAGACTTGCTATTAGGACATGAAGTAAATAAGATGTATGTCAAGTTTTGTGAAACATATGATAAAGGCGCCAAAAAATTTATACCAAAGCAGAGATGCAGAACTAGGAAACAGGATTAGTTCGATAGAAATTGGAAGAGGGCCAGAGACCAAAAGACACAAAAATGGAATCAATACAGGAAGAGACCAAATCCCCAAACATACCAGCAATACAAAGATGCGAGAAAAAACTACACGGCAGTGAGGAGAGAGGCAGAAAGAAATTTTGAAAAAGGGATTGCAGACAAATGTAAAACAGAACCAGGTCTATTCTATAAATTTATAAACAACAAATTACAGCTAAAGGATAATATTCAAATGTTGAAAATGGGAAATAGATTCACGGAAAATTAAAAGGATATGTGTGAAACATTAAACGAAAAGTTCCAAAGTGTGCTTGTACAAAATGAAATCTTCAGGGAACCAGACACAATAAGAATTCCAGAGAACAACATAGAGCACATAGAGGTGTCTAGAAATGAAGTGGAAAAAATGCTCAAGGAGCTAAGTAAGAACATAGCAGTTGGCCCAGATGGAGTTTCACCATGGGTTCTGAGAGAATGTGCACCTGAGCTCAGCATTCCACTTCAGCTGATTTTTCAGACATCCCTGTTTACAGGAGTCGTAGCAGGTGTGTGGAAAAAGGCTAACATAGTTCCAATCTACAAAAGTGGCAGCAGGGAAGACCCCTTCAGTTATAGACACTATCATCGACAAGTGTAATAGTCAAAATATTGGAAAAAATAATCAAAACTAAATGGGTAGAACACCTGGAGAGAAATGATATAATATCAGACAGACAGTATGGTTTTCGATCTGGAAGATCCTGTGTATTGAATTTACTCAGTTTCTATGATCGAGCAACAGAGAGTTTACAGGAAAGAGATGGTTGCGTTGACTGCATCTATCTGGACCTTAAAAAGACTTTCGACAGAGTTCCACATAAGAGGTTGTTCTAGAAACTGGAAAATATTGGAGGGGTGACAGGTAAGTTTCTAACATGGATGTAAAATTTTATGACTGATAGAAAAATGAGGGCAGTAATCAGAGGCAATATATCGGACTGGAGAAACGTCACAAGTGGAGTACCACAGGGTGCAGTTCTTGCACCGGTGATGTTCATTGTCTACATAAATGATTTACCAGATGGAATACAGAATTATCTGAACATGTTTGCTGATGATGCTAAGATAATAGGAAGGATAAGAAACTTAGATGATTGACATGCCCTTCAAGAAGACCTGGACAAAATAAGTATATGGAGCATCACTTGGCAAATGGAATTTAACGTGAATAAATGCCATGTTATGGAATGTGGAATAGGAGAACATAGACTCCACACTACCTATAAATTATGTGAGAAATCTTTAATGAATTCTGATAAAGAAAGAGATCTAGGGGCGGTTCTAGACAGAAAACCATCACCTGAGGACCACATAAAGAACTTTGTGCGAGGAGCCTATGCCACGCTTTCTAACTTCAGAATTGCTTTTAAATACATGGATGGCGATATACTAAAGAAATTGTTCATGACTTTTGTTAGGCCAAAGCTAGAATATGCAGCAGTAGTGTGGTGCCCATATCTTAAGAAGCACATACACAAACTGGAGAAGGTGCAAAGACTTGCTACTAAGTGGTTCCCAGAATTGAAGGGCAAGAGCTACGAGGAGAGGTTAGAGGCATTAAATATGCCAAAACTAGAAGACAGAAGAAAAAAGAGGTGATATAATCACTACTTACAAAATAGTAACAGGAATTGATAAAATTGTTAGGGAAGATTTCCTGAGACCTAGAACTTCAAGATCAAGAGGTCATAGATTTAAACTAACTAAACAAAGATGCCGAAGAAATATAAGAAAATTCACTTTCGCAAACAGAGTGGTAGACGGTTAGAACAAGTTAGGTGAGAAGGTGGTGGAGGCCAAGACCATCAGTAGTTTCAAAGCGTTATATGACAAAGAGTGCTGGGTAGACGGGACACCACGAGCGTAGCTCTCATCCTGTAACTACACTTAGGTACAGTAATTACACACACACATATGGCAGTTAATAACACAATTGAGAGGGCAGACTCTGCTGCCTGTAGAAATCGATCCCATCTGCTCATCATGGGGGGGACTTCAATCACGGAAGGATAGAATGGGAGAACAAGGAACCACACGGAGGAGAGGATACATGGAAAGCCAAACTAGCGGAGGTGGCGACAAGAAACTTTCTAAGCCAACATGTCAGGGAACCCACTAGGATGAGGGGAAACAAGGAACCAGCAAGACTCGACCTAGTCTTCACTCTGAATGACTCCGACATAAGAGAAATTGACCTCGAGGCCCCAGTAAAAATAAACGATCACAGTGTACTGACGTTTGAGTATCTGGTCGAAGAAGGGCTAAAGTACTCGAGAAAGGGAACCGAAACTAAAAGGCTAGCATTCTGTAAGGGAAATTACAAGGAGATAAGAAAATTCCTAACAGATATAACATGGGATAAAGAGCTCAGGGGTAAGACGGCCCAAGACATGATGGACTACATCACCCAGAAGTGCAAGGAGGCAGCAGAAAAGTTTATCCCGGCCCAAAAGATAAAAAATGAAATGCAGATGAGAAACCCATGGTTTAATCAGAGATGTAAGCTAGCTAAGCAACAAAGTAAAAGAGCATGGAGAAACTATAGAAATAACAGGACACTTGAGAGCAGAGAAGGTTATCAGAGAGTCAGGAATGAATACGTCAGAGTGAGAAGAGTGGCAGAAGGGCAATATGAAAACGACATAGCAAGCAAGGCTAAGACCCAACCCAAATTGCTGCACAGCCACATCAGGAGAAAGACAACAGTGAAGGAACAGGTAATGAAACTGAGGATAGGGGCAGACAGATTCACTACAAACGACAAAGAAGTGTGCGAGGAACTCAATAAAAAATTCCAGGAAGTCTTCACATTAGAGCAAGGAGAAGTTCCAGAGCTAAGAGAAGGAATAGTTAACCAGGCACCACTAGAGGAATTTTAGATTACCAGTGGGGATGTAAGGAAGCTTTTGCTAGAGTTGGATGTGACAAAGGCTATATTCCAGGATGGAATATCGCCATGGATACTAAAGGAAGGAGCAGAAGCACTGTGCCTGCCATTCTCCATGGTGTATAACAAATCACTGGCAACAGGTGAACTGCCAAAAATTTGGAAGGCGGCAAATGTAGTCCCAATATACAAGAAGGGGGATAGACAGGAGGCACTGAACTACAGGCCAGTGTCCCTAACTTGCATACCATCCAAACTAATGGAGAAAATTGTGCGAAAAAAGCTAGAACATCTAGAGCGAAGGAACTTTGTGACAACACCAACATGGTTTCAGGGATGGCAAGTCATGCCTCACAGGATTAATTGAATTCTACGATCAGGCAACAAGAATCAGACAAGAAAGAGAGGGGTGGGCAGATTGCATATTTTTGGATTGCCAGAAAGCCTTTGACACAGTGCCACACCAGAGACTGGTGCAAAAGCTGGAGATGCAGACAGGAGTGAAAGGGAAGGTACTCCATTAGATAAAGGAATACCTAAGTAACAGAAGGCAGCAAGTCACTGCGAAGGGTGAGGTCTTAGATTGGCGAGACGTCACCAGTAGGGTCCCACAGGGTTCAGTCCTTGGACCCATACTGTTTCTTATATATGTAAATGATCTTCCAGATGGTATAGAATCATTCCTCTCATTGTTTGCTGATGATGCAAAAATTATGAGGAGGATTAAGATGGAGGAAGACAGTATGAGACTACAAGATGACCTAGACAGACTGAATGAAAGGGCCAACAAATGGCTACTAAAGTTCAACCCAAGTAAACGTAAGGTAATGAAACTAGGCAGAGGAAACAGGAGGCCAGACACAGGATACAGAATGGGAGATGAAATCCTTCATGAAACAGACAGAGAGAAGGATCTAGGAGTTGATATCACACCAAACCTGTCTCCTGAAGCCCACATCAAAAGAATAACATCTGCGGCATATGCGAGGCTGGCTAACATCAGAACTGCCTTTAGGAACCTGTGTAAGGAATCATTCAGAACCTTGTATACCAAACATGTAAGACCAATCCTGGAGTATGCGGCCCCAGCATGGAGCCCGTACCTTTTCAAGCACAAGGCGAAGCTTGAAAAAGTTCGGAGATATGCCCAGAACTAAGAGGCATGAGTTACGAAGAAAGGCTGCGGGAAATGCCCCTCACGACACTAGATGACAGAAGAGTAAGGGGAGACATGATCACTATCTACAAAATTCTCAAGAGGAACTGACAGGGTAGATAAAGATAAACTGTTTAACACGGGTGGTATGCAAACAAGGGGACATAGGTGGAAACTGAGTACCCACATGAGCCACAGGGACGTTAGAAAGAACTTTTTCGGTGTCAGAGTAGTTAACAGACGGAATGCATTAGGCAGTGATGTGGTGGAGGCTGACTCCATACACAGTTTCAAATGTAGATATGATAGAGCCCAGTAGGCTCAGGAATCTGTACATCAGTTGATTGACAGTTGAGAGGCAGGACCAAAGAGCCAGAGCTCAACCCCCACAAACACAATTAGGCGAGTATACACACACACACACACACACCCAGGAAGCAGCCTGTAGCAGCTGTCTAACTCCCAGGTACCTATTTACTGCTAGGCAAACAGGAGCATCAAGGTGAAAGAAACTGCCCGTTTGTTTCCGCCAACACAGGAGGTTTGATCCCCTGACCCTAAGATTATGAATCCCAAGCGCTGTCCACTCAGCCACCAGGCCTGCATGAGAGACTAAATGTGTCCTGTAACATTATAAAATCCCATCAATTCTATGAGGATGCCACTTGAGACCTCTGACAAATGTTTCCCACATTGGGCAAAAATCCTGAAAAGCTAAAGTTTCCTTCCTGTTTTTCAGTATAATGATAGGCACCCTGCCTGGTGCATCACCATCCAGTGACTGGCAGCTGTGCCAGAGCCACTAACACCATGACAAGAACCTTTATGGACCTGGAAGATCTTCATGATGGAGGAATCTGTTACAAATACAGAGGTACCTCGGATTACAAGCGCCCCTGGTTACAAGTTTTTCGGGTTACGGGCAGGATTTGCTCGGAAAATTTGTATCGGGATACGAGCGTGTTGAACGTATACAGGCCGACCTAGCTCATGGTGGCACGGCGGTCGCCCCTCAGTTTACCAGTGCCTCGCGCCCAGTGACTATCCCGCCTCAATTCATAACCAGGATTTACAGTGTTTTGTTGGATATTTAGCCATTTGAGCATAAAAGTTGTTGTTATATATCTTGCAATGGGTCCCAAGAAAGCCAGTGGTAAGGTTCAACCTAAGAAAATAGTTGTGAGTAGAGGCAGTAGAGGATGTCCCTTCCTCATTAAGAAAATGTGTAAAGTATGGAAAGAACTGCAAAGTTTTGTTGAAAAAACTCACCCAGATAAAGCTGTAGCAGGCCGTTGCATTGACCTTTTAAATGACAATGTGATGTCTTACTACAGACAAGTGTTAAAATGTAGGGAAAAACAAGTGTCTTTAGACAGATTCTTAGTAAGACAAGCAAGCAGTGAGCCACAAGCAGGTCCTAGTGGCATGCAGGCAAAATGTGCCAGAGTGTGCACACCAGTGAAGTCCTCACTGCCTGATGTTATAATGGAAGGGGACTCCCCTTCCAAACAGTAACACCTCTCCTCCCCCCTCCATCTCCTCACCATTTTTCATACACCAACAGCAGTCATCAGCAAGGGTAAGTAATAACTAGAACATACTTTTGTAGTGTAGATTTAGATGAATTAGGTATAAAATTTAGTTTGAAATGAGGTTTTTGGATAGTCAGGAATGGATTAATTCATTTCCCATTATTTCTTATGGGGAAATTAGCTTCGGTTTACGAGCCGTCTCCAGGAACAGATTAAACTCTTAAACCGAGGTACCCCTGTATGTCCTCATCAACATTTAATATGATAAACTAAAACTATATTAATATGATAAACTGAAACTATATTAATATGATAATCTGAAACTATTCGATTTTTTTTTTTTTTTTTAGATTTTTTCCAACCAGAAAGTAATATTTAACAATATAGACAATATCTTTTATGCGCACCAGGAAATTGCCCAATTTCAGGGCGACTAGTTAGAGGGTAAACCACAAGACCTCTTGGTACATCAAACACACTATGCCACGCACCGGGCAAACCTGTGTGACCAAAGTTAACTCAACAATGACTCAACACTGACAAAGTTGATGCCACGTTGATTAAATGTTACTAGAGCTGGTGTTGCATACTAGGAAGTCACCTCTTTTGTGGCCACAAGTCACCACTTGAGAAGTGTTTATGTCACCTCTTTTGTGGCCACAAGTCACCACTTGAGAAGTGTTTATGGCACCTCTTTTGTGGCCACAAGTCACCACTTGAGAAGTGTTTATGTCACCTCTTTTGTGGCCACAAGTCACCACTTGAGAAGTGTTTATGGCACCTCTTTTGTGGCCACAAGTCACCACTTGAGAAGTGTTTATGTCACCTCTTTTGTGGCCACAAGTCACCACTTGAGAAGTGTTTATGGCCTTACTTTCTGAGTCTGGACGAAGAGGACCTCCAGCTGGAGTGCCTGGGAGAAGGCGTGCAGCACCGTGTAGGTCTCGTGCAGGGGGTTGGGATTGTCCTGCAGCCTCGACTGAATTAATGCATGGATATAGCTAATCTGAAATTGAAGAAACATTTTTTTTTTTTTTAGTAATAATGTAGTTAATATTTCCTCAAGTCTTGTACATGATGGAATTCTTCATTAAGGGTGCTAAGTGGAATAAAATCTCCTTATATTAGACCAGCCTTCTTAACTAGCCCTTACTGGTCTGGCTTGCTTAGATATGCAACCTACAAATCTGAAAATAAAGAACTGACAGCATTTCAGTCCCTCCTGGACCGAAACGTTGCAAACTTCTGAACTTTCTCAATATTCTATTTATGCATCACAGGATGTTGGTTCCATGCTAGCGCTGTATACTCAAGTCATAGTCTCACATAGGTAGTGTGTTTAGATTTCTTTAGAAGTCTTGAGCGATGTTCTCATATTTGCGCAAACTTTCCCCACATGCAACTTATGTCATCCTGTTCACACGAGCTTGTGGTCTTAGTGTTGCGATTATGTCTACGTCCCAGGTCTTTTTCTCTTATTGTTTCTTGTAAATGCCTTCCCCCTATAGTGTAGTTAAATACAGGTCGCCTGTCTCCCTTACCCACTTTCATTACTTTACACTTATTCGGAATGAATTCCAGCAACCATTTTTCTGATCATTTCTGAAGTTCATCAAGGTCTTCTTGCAGCACCCGACAGTCCTCTTCAGTTCTTACTCTTCTCATTAATGTTGCATCATCTGCAAACATTGACATGTACGAGCTCACTCCCTCTGCGAGATCAACCACATCATTTACACAAATGAAAAAGAGCAGTGATTTCAGCACAGAGCCATGTGGAGTACCACTTTCCACTCCCCTTCAGCGTGACATATCTTCTCTGGCTTTGACTCTTTGTTTCCTGTCTGTCAAGTACTCCCGTACCCAGTCCAGTACCTTTCCAGTAAGCTTGGCTTCTCTCTCCATCTTGTGTCACAAGATGTGAGGAACTGTATCAAAAAGTATTGACAGTTGTGAGGAACTGTATCAAAAGCTTTTTGCCAGTTTAGGAAGATGCAGTCTACCCATCCTTCCATTCCTTTCATCTTATTTTGGTGGCTGTCATAAAATTCAATTAAGTTTGTTAAGCATGATTTTCCCTCTCAGAAGCCATGTTATGCCTCTGTTATTAAATTTACTCTGTCCAAATGCTCTACAATCCTTTTTCTGGCGACTTTTTCTAGAATCCTCCACGGAATGTATGTTAACAGCACTGCTCTATAGTTTAGTATTTCATGTCTATCCTCATTTCTTGAATACTGGAACTACAGTTACCCTTTTCTAGATTTCTGGTAGCTCTCCTATCTCTTAGTGTAATGCTGCAACCCGTCCTCCTAATAGTCACTCTATACAAGGCCAAAAATCATTATACTAGAAAATGGTAGTGGCTTGCAAAATGGACATACTGTCCCGTTTTCTGTTTTGGGTCCCTTGAGGAGGCCTGGTCGACGACCGGGCAGCGGGGTCGCTAAGCCCAAAATCACCTCAAGGTAGGTTAGGATAAGGGCACTTTGGTATAACAGTTTCTCGACGCTGGGGAACCTTAGGAGGCCCAGATGAATGCTGAACAATATAGTTAATGGGTAACACAAGATCACTGCAACTTGCTTCAGTAACCCCGATGATATCTGGTCTGAACGGGTCCTACTGTTCTTGCTACATCCAGAGTTTCTCCAGGTGTCTTGTACAGTAACTTCAATTCAGTCCAGTGTTGTTTATGGTCATCTGTTGTCTCCTCTACTTGGACACCAATCTGGTTATGATTTGTGGATCTCCTGGAATCTCTCCGAGTTCATCACATAAACAGACGGTGAGTGACAATAACGTGGCTGCAGATATGAAGACTAAACCACACACCAGAAGATGAGGAGACGATGACGATACTGGTCCAGGATGGACCGAAACAAGTCGATTGTGTGTGATTCTCCTCATCTTCCTGGGTGTGGTTTAGTCATATACTTCTTTATCATTCTCTAAGAGTGTTCCTCCTTGTCCCACTGTGGGGACAGGAAATCGTATGCATTTCTTTTCAGTAAATCATAGGTGTTTCCTGCCACATGTTTCCTGCTGGAACCGAACCATCTGTGTTTCTTTTCCTCCACATGTGGGCAAGCAGTAGCTTAAGGTGTATCCTTGCTTTTGTCGCAATTTTCAAACTGCTGCTCTGCTGCCCTCCTGATGCTGGTGGACTCATTCCCAGCCCTCTTTAGTACCTCCCTGTCAGCCTCTGTTCCTATACCTATACCTCCTATACATTGTCTATGCCTTTCTTGTCTTCTTTTCTCCCTTACATTGTTGAACCATGGATTTATCATTCTCCTTTAGTCCACTTCCCTCCTGGGAGGTATGAACTGTTCCATTGCTTCATTTACCTTTCTGAGTTATGAGTTACATCATCTCATTGTTGACTTTCCTTCCACTTCCGTCTCCTCCTATTGAACTTCCTGCAGATAATCCCTTACCTTCCTGTAGTTTCCCCCTCTTCCGCACTCTCCCGTGTAGGCATCACAGGCTTGGTACCACCAGCCAAGACTTGGCAATACCAAGCATTTATTCTTAGAAAGGTAGTGAGGGAGGGGGGGCCATATAAAAAAACAGAGGGCCGCCTACGATGGTGACAGTGTGCCGACCCATCTATTCTGCTGGAGCATGTCCCAAAGTCACAGTCCTGGTGCCACCAAGAGGTGTGGTGTCTACCTCCTAGTCTGAGGCCTGGTCAACGACTGGGCCGCGGGGTCGTTAAGCCCCGAAATCACCACAAGGTAGTCTTACTGGTGTTACCAGTAGGACAAGGAGCCTGAAGTGTAGAGGTGAAAAAGTGGGAACCCAAGCAGGCAGAGGGCAGAACAGAGGCATGCGACCTTACACCAAGAGCAAAAAATACAGCAAAGACACAAGCTAACCCGCCCACCGTTATCTTGAGGTTATCTTGAGATGATTTCGGGGCTTTTTAGTGTCCCCGCGGCCCGGTCCTCGACCAGGCCTCCACCCCCAGGAAGCAGCCCGTGACAGCTGACTAACACCCAGGTACCTATTTTACTGCTAGGTAACAGGGGCATAGGGTGAAAGAAACTCTGCCCATTGTTGCTCGCCAGCGCCTGGGATCGAACCCAGGACCACAGGACCACAAGTCCAGTGTGCTGTCCGCTCGGCCGACCGGCTCCCTTGCAGTTTATGCAGTTTTAATGCCTTATTTATCCTTGCCTGTATAGGTATCCGATAGCATACCTGTTAAGTGGTGAATTTGCAGCTTTCTTATTAGTCGCAGTATTAGATGGCTTCACAGGTCTTTAACCTCTTCCTCTCTTCTGTGTCTACCACCTGCATTTGTTCCAGTTGTGATGTCTTCTTTCCTGCCTCTTCTTGGACTGTCATTTTATGCCTAATGCTGTCTCCTCATTGTTTGGCCTTGGTAAAGCTTCCCTTACTAGCCTTCTGGGTTGATGTTTCTTCACCCTCCATTTCCTGGCTGTTTCATGCTCTTTCACCTCTGACGGCTCATGCCCTCCCGGGGTCTCCTTGGTTACTGTATCACCTCTGACGGCTCATGCCCTCCCGGGGTCTCCTTGGTTACTGTACCATCTCTGACGGCTCATGCCCTCCCGGGTCTCCTTGGTTACTGTATCACCTCCGACGGCTCATGCCCTCCCGGGGTCTCCTTGGTTACTGTATCACCTCCGACGGCTCATGCCCTCCCGGGGTCTCCTTGGTTACTGTATCACCTCTGACGGCTCATGCCCTCCCGGGTCTCCTTGGTTATTGTATCACCTCTGACGGCTCATGCCCTCCCGGGGTCTCCTTGGTTACTGTATCACCTCCGACGGCTCATGCCCTCCCGGGGTCTCCTTGGTTATTGTATCACCTCCGACGGCTCATGCCCTCCCGGGGTCTCCTTGGTTACTGTATCAGGTTCCTTCTTCAGTTGAGGATTCCATTTTTTAAAGATGGCATTCCTCCTGGCTCTTGTCTTATTTGCCTGGCTTTCAAAAGAAAGCCAGGCAGTCAGGTTGGGAAGCTGTATGGTCTTTTCTAAAAGCTTGGTTTCTGTTCATCACAACCTGGTCTTCGTTTTCCGAGCCTCAAAACTTGGTTTGCCCAGCCGGAGGTGCATCATGTGCTCTTTCCTGAGGCTGCAGTTAAGGCATTATTTGCACACTACTAATACTGTGTGGTGTTATGTCTTGTGGGTGTCAGTCTTTGTACATGTTCCTCGTTTCATTGCCAATTTTTCCCGGGTCATTGGGAAGGTTGTTCTGCCTAGTCAGTCAGTGGTTTATCCCCCAATCTCATTATGGGGCAGAAGTTGGCTGCTTTGTTGACTTAGAAAATCTGTCCACAGTGATTTTTGGGTTAGAGGCTTCTGTCAGTTTAATTGGGCAATTGTTACTTCCTACACAGGCTCAGAAACATCTGAAACTGAATGTGTCATCTTGCAAATGGAAATTAATTAATATCAAATCAACTAAAACACTGTGACTACATAATAATATAGAGTAGTACCATACCTGCATTGGATGAACAAGCTCCTTGCCATCTCCAGTTTCCTTGTCTTCTACAAGAATTTCAATCTCAAGGAGTCTCCAAGGTTCACTCGGAGAGTCTCCCATCAGGGTAAGGCTCACTTCAAATTCGTGCTCGACAGTGAATCTAACTCGACCATTCTCAATCTGTAAAACACAAGTGTTATCTATGACAAAAGCCAATATGAAGACAATTTCCAAGTTTATGATATAGGGATGTTGGAGACTCCAGAACTTCAGTATGGCAGCAACAAGGCAGGTAGGAAATAGAGGGCCAAAATATATACATTATACTAAGAAAGTAGACATTATACTAATGCATATATACATTATATTAAGAAAGTAGACTAATGTATAATACTCATAATGCATTCAAAAAAAATTTTGTTATATATTTAACATGTCACATTACTGTATGGGGAAAAATTAGGCTTAGAGTCGTGAAAATAACCTTGAGCGAGTGTCCTTCAGTCATTCCCTAAGGTGAATTGTCACAGTGGATGTAAGACAACATCATGTATAACCAACAAGGACTACATTCTGGCACCGTCACTACATGTCTTCCCACCACACCATCACTAGTGATTATCACAGATCATGTATAACCAACAAGGACTACATTCTGGCACCGTCACTACATGTCTTCCCACCACACCATCACTAGTGATTATCACCCAAGGGGCTGCTTAGAGAAACCCCACCGACCATCAGAGAAAAACAAAGGGTTGGCTGCCAGCCAGGAGAAAGCAAAAACCTCATACCGTACTGTGAAGATGCAGCCCCGTCCTCCTAAACGTTTCCCAGTGTCACGAAAATAGTCATATAAAGTGCACTCTCCTAACCTATCAGAGAACCCAAAACAGAAAATGGGATAGTACGTCACATTCACGAGCCGCTTACATTTCTTTGTAAGAGGACAGGTTGGAGAATAACCCACACATAAAGATCCATCTCAGAAGCTGCCTAGTCCTGAGGCAGAAACCAAAGCAAGTTTGCCTACGCCGTAGCCAGGGGAAAATGAGAGGATTGAAACGTGCAAAAGGATGGCAAATCCAGGTCCCTCATTGGAATTCAGAAGACACTAGCTCATGATGACCAAACCATATACTGTACCTGAAGACAAGGCAGCGACGATGTGTCAGTCCATCCTGGACCATTATCAAGTCGACTGTGGTCCAGGGCAGACCAAAACATCGTCGTCTCCTTATCTTCTGGCGTGTGATTTGGTCATCATATCTTCAACCACGTTATTGTGACTCATCGTCTGCACACTTGCTCATACTGCGGCAGGGAGTAGAAAAAGTGTCCAAGAGGAGCAATAAACCCCTCTGGGTAAGGTTCAAGTTCAAGCATGTTTATCGAGACAATAAAATACATTATAAAGGGATATAGATAGCTTAGGCTATTTCTACCCCCCCCAACTGGGCCAGGTACTAAACACCTCCAGAGGAGAACCAAGGACCGTTTTCTGTTCGTAGTTCCACAGTTGGGTTGTCTTTGAGCCATTTAGTTCACCATTTATGTGATGTTATGACAACATGAGAGGACAGGCTGGATGAAGAGGCAGTAGAAGGGTACAGAGCTAAAACTCCATTGTCTCATAGAATGGAGGAGGTTCAACCACCCTGCCACACAGGTCCATGAGAAAACAAACAAAAAAATGGGAAGCACAATCACATAATTCATCCCCCCCCCCCCTGCCAGGAAACCTAGCCTAATCAAAATAACCCCTAACACAGCTTAACGAAAGCTAATACATTCTTAATTTAACAATACATACAATTTTCACAATAAGAAAGCATGCTTTGTCTGTCTTGTGTACGATTTAACCACGGCCCTCCACCAAGCCGTACTAGAAATTATCATACATCGGTGACAAGAAATAACTAATAAACTTGCCCTGCTCGTTCTCATTTGTGACGGAAGCTCCGAAGTTACCAGTCGGTGCTGGATTATTTGCTCCAGGCGAGTCAGCGTTTGCTTGCGCTCCAGAGCGGTGACTGGCTCAAGAGGAAGAATACGCTGACGTATAGTCATGGGCAATCTGTCATACGAGCCTGGAAAACAAACTTTGGATGTCAACACATACATCACATGCACCAATAAAATTATCACTTAAAAATAAGAAAAATCCTGTTTTGACATATCTTGCGATGATTTCGAGGCTTAATGTCCCTGCGGCCCAGTCCTCAACCAGGCCTCCAGGCATAACAGACAATCTTAACATACTTTGCCAACATTACAAACTAAATATTAAAATATATTCTAATCTTCTACAAGAGACCCCAAAAAGGACAAAATTTCCAGGCAAAACATAATTATACGTTGTTTAGGCCCACAGAACCAACAACACTGCAAACCAGACAACGTTGTTTAGGCCCACAGAACCAACAACACTGCAAACCAGACATGACAGGGCTGATCTCGAGAGACCTTGAAAATACTGAACAAGTTGAAAGATAATAATCCAGACCACTTCATCAAAAGGTCAAGTATAACAAATATACTCAACAAGCCACAATGAAGGACAAAAAACAGGAGATGCTTTTTCACCCAAAGGTTATAAACCCCTGGAACTGCCGACCCGCTGAAACTGCAAATGCCAAGACATTACTTCAGTTAAAAATCCAGTTAGAAAAAATCCTCAGGAACAGTTGGAGGATCTTTACCAAGCTGTTTACTTCTTGTCCCTGTTGAGGCCACTAGAGACAAAGGCCCTTAGGTAAATTCAGGCAAAATTCAGGTAACTAATTATTGACCCCACCATACTCTTCCTAGTCCAGAATTACCCAACCTGATCTTTCAATTTACCACTCCATTAAAAACACAATCGTTTTGCATAATCAGAAAAGTACAAGCTCTAGCAACCTGCCTAACATCTATCGAGGCCACTTGTCAGAAAGTCTCAATATTACAGTACTGGTATTTTAAGTTTTATTAACAGATTGGTCGACTCCGTTTAAAATACAACCTATCAGTCGAGTGAATGTGTTGCAAAACACAAAACATCAAAAGGGTTAACCGTGGAATGCTGCAAGTACCCTGAAGTGAGGCGGGGTTTGCCCATTTAACTACCTGTGAAAGTATCAATTTAGCCACACACCGGGAAGTGAGGAACACCAGAGCTCCCAACCCGTACAAAGGCCCAAGAAGTCGCACCACGATACACTCTATGTAAAGGAGGAGCAACCTTCAGGTGGAACACCTGTTTCAATTCCTACAAAGTTGCCAATGCTAAACACCCATTACACTCACTATAAGTGGCCAGTCTAAGTGGATGGACATGGAGGGAAGAGAAAGAGAAACTGAATCAACTACCTTATTAGTACAGCATGTATCTATCTATATACAGTATATACAGTACAGTATGTATATATCATAACAAATTGTAATTAGTGTTGCACCAGATACGTACTCAGGTAACTAGTGCCCAGACACAGAAACTAGACGCCTCCGCTGTAAGATAACTAGTGGGAAAATGCAAGTAATGTAATCTAACAAGTGAACAAAACAAATTAAGAGTGCGACACGTGGTAGCAACACTGGCCGTCCATACTGCCCCTCCGGGCCTGTCTCAAGTTGGTAAACACCCACAGTCAACACCCACGGCCAGCACCCACGGTCAACCCCCCCACCGGTCAACACCCCCACCTTGTAAGACCTGGTAAGACCATCACCACTGAACAGAAGTGTTCAAAAAATGGCTTTGATAAAAACGTGCATAGAATGCAACATAAAGGTAGATTACCAACAGAGCTTTCAATGCCAACTCTGTTCAGCAGCCATATACAAAAAATGTGCCAACATGACTAACAATTCAAGGAGAAATGGTCCCAGTGACCACTCTGTGTACTGGCCTGCAAAAAGGATGATGTAACTTTTTTGAAGATGATGGAAATCCTGGATAAAACTCCCGCCGAAAACAGAGAATTACTAATTAATGCCTGCATAGCAATTTCTAATGTCTTCAAACAAACTGTACATGACGCCAAGGTACAACCAGCTGTGGCACAGAGCTCGGTGGCAGCAGCGCCTGAGCAGGGCGCGGAGTCGGGGACGCCTGAGCAGGGCGCGGAGTCGGGGACGCCTGAGCAGGGCGCGGAGTCGGGGACGCCTGAGCAGGGCGCGGAGTCGGTGACGCCTGAGCAGGGCGCGGAGTCGGGGACGCCTGAGCAGGGCGCGGAGTCGGGGACACCTGAGCGGGGCGCGGAGTCGGGGACGCCTGAGCGGGGCGCGGAGTCGGGGACGCCTGAGCGGGGCGCGGAGTCGGGGACGCCTGAGCGGGGCGTGGAGTCGGGGACGCCTGAGCGGGGCGCGGAGTCGGGGACCCCTGAGCGGGGCGCGGAGTCGAGGACGCCTGAGCAGGGCGCGGAGTCGAGGACCCCTGAGCGGGGCGCGGAGTCGGGGACCCCTGAGCGGAGCGCGGAGTCGGGGACCCCTGAGCGGAGCGCGGAGTCGGGGACCCCTGAGCAGAGTGCGGTGTCACAGGCCCCGGAGCAGAGCACAGTGTCGGGGACGCCGCAGCAGAGTGCAGTCCCTGGCAAAGGGAAACAAACAAAACAAGGCCCCAAAATCTGTTGGTATTACAAATGGGCTACCTGTAAGCATGGGGAATTGGGAAGAACAAATGGAACATGTAAATACGATCACCCTAGAAAGTGCAGAAACCTCCTCAATACAGGTAAATGTACCAAAAGCTGTGAATTCTTTCACCCAGAAATTTGCAAGAACTCTTTGGACAGGAAAGAGTGCTTCAATGCTGAATGTCCAGCTTTTCATATAAGAGGTACCAGGCGAATAAAACCGACAGACTACCACTATGAAAACAGCCACTACTCCATCGACCGGGATAATTTTTTAGCAAGAGGAAGAGGAGAAGAATGGCTAAAAATGACCAGACTCTACCACCAACTCGGTCAAATGCTAGAGAGGACGCAAACACAGTGGCCTCCTTACCAGAGCCTCAGATATTAACACCAAGTAAAGCATCCAGCACTTCCACTAACACGATAACATCATTTATATTTGCCAACATCCAGGGTATAAAAACACGCAAATCCAACAAAGTTCACTTTATATATGGTTTCCTTCATGAGGCAAATGCAGTGTTTGCAGCCCTAACGGAAACTCACACAAAGGACTACCTTGATGGTGAAATATGGATCTCAGAGTACAATCTCTTCAGATGTGATAGGAAACACCGGCTTCAGGGTGGGGTCAGCCTCTACATCAAAAACACACTCATCTGTACCGAGCTGCTAAACACCTCAAATGATATGGTGGAAGTGCTGATAGTCAAAATAGAGATCCTAAATGTAGTTATTGTCCTTGTATATAAGTCATCAGAGGCAAACCCTCAACAGTTTAAAGACCAACTAATGAAAATAGAACACTGCTTGGAAAACCTCACAAATCCAGCTCCGAACATCATCCTGCTTGGGGACTTCAACCTACGGCACCTGAAATGGAAGCACCTGGCTAATACAGTACTGTAATAATATCAGAAAGAATACCAGGAAGTAGCCTAAATGAACAGGCACATGCAAATGACCTGCTACGGATGTGCGATAGGTTTGCCTTAAACCAGCAAATAGTAGAACCAACTAGGAAGGAGAACACGCTGGACCTCATTTTCACTAATAATGATGAGTTGATCGGGAACATAATGATTACAAATACTTGTTACTCAGATCACAACTTAATTGAGGTTCTGACAACCATGGGGAATGGACCTTCAAAACCAGTCCAGATTCCCGGTGGAGGAGATTTCAACAAATTCAACTTCAATAATAAACAGATAAACTGGGAGCAAATAAACCAGGACTTCACAGAAATAAACTGGGAAGAACAGCTAGAAAATGCAAACCTGAACCAGTACCTGGAAAAAATAAGCTCAGTAGCACTAGAAATATGTTCAAACCGCATACCCCTAAGGAAAAAGAGAAAGAGATGCAGATTGGAACGGGAACGTCGTTCCCTATATAGGCGAAGAAAACAAATCGCAGAACAACTTGAGAGTCGCATCCTATCTCAAGAACGGCGAAGAAGGTTAGGTAGAGAAATAGAAACAATTGAACTCAAACTACAAGAATCATACAAAACCCAGGAGAGGCAAAGAGAGCAAAAGGCCATCAGTGAAATAGAGAGAAATCCGAAATATTTTTTCTCCTATGCAAAATCAAGATCAAAAACCACATCTAGTATCGGGCCCCAGCGAAAGGGAGATGGAACTTTCACCGACGACAACAAAGAAATGAGCAAGTTACTGAGGAAGCAGTACGACTGTTTTCAGCGAGCCATTAAACGCACTAAAGATTGATAACCCAAATGAATTTTTCATGGATATGATACCAACATCAAATCATATATCAGACGTCACCCAATCCCCACTAGATTTTGAAGAAGCCATAAACAGTATGCCTATGCACTCTGCACCAGTCCCGGATTCTTGGAACTCCATATTCATCAAGAACTATAAAAAAAACACTATCGAAGGCCCTTCACATTCTGTGGAGACAAAGCCTAGATACTGGCGTTATCCCTGACATACTAAAAACAGCAGAGATAGCACCACTCCATAAAGGAGGAAATAAGGCAGAGGCAAAAAATTACAGACCGATACCACTAACATCGCACATCATAAAAAATTTTGAGAGAGTGCTAAGAAGATAGATCACAAAATACATGGAATCACAGCATCTCCACAACCCCGGACAACATGGTTTCAGAACAGGGCGCTCTTGCCTGTCGCAGTTGCTGGACCACTATGATATGGCATTAGATGCTATGGAAGACAAACAAAACGCTCATGTAATTTACACAGATTTCGCAAAAGCTTTTGATAAATGTGACCATGGTGTTATTGCACATAAAATGCGTTCAAAAGGAATTACCGGGAAAATAGGCAGATGGATCTACAATTTCCTGACTAACAGAACCCAATGTGTAATAGTCAACAAAATAAAATCCAACCCATCAACCGTGAAAAGCTCAGTCCCCCAGGGTACTGTGCTTGCTCCAGTACTTTTTATCATCCTCATATCGGACATAGACAAGAACACAACCTATAACAGATACAGAACAGAAGATATAGGATGATACAGAACACTATATCATCCTTTGCAGATGACACTAGGATTTCATGAGAGTTGGCAACATAGAGGACACGGCAAACCTCCAATCAGATGTAGATCAGGTCTTTCTATGGGCTACAGAAAATAATATGGTTTTTAACGAGGATAAGTTCCAGCTCATGCGCTACGAAAAAATTGAAAATATAAAAACGGAAACCATGTACAAAACTCAGGCAAATCATAACATAGAACGAAAAGGCAATGTAAAGGATCTGGGTGTACTCATGTCGGAAGACCTTACCTTTAAAGAACACAATAAAGTAGCAGTCACAACTGCAAGAAAAATGACAGGTTGGATAACAAGAACTTTTAACACTAGAGATGCTATACCAATGATGATACTTTTCAAAACGCTTGTGCTCTCTAGAGTGGAGTACTGCTGCACAATGACAGCCCCTTTCAAAGCTGGAGAAATTGCTGACCTGGAGAGCGTGCAGAGATCCTTTACTGCTAGAATCCACTCAGTAAAACATCTAAACTATTGGGACCGACTAAAAAGCCTAAATCTGTACTCCCTTGAGTGCAGGCAGGAGAGATACATAATAATTTACACGTGGAAAATTATTGAGGGGCTGGTCCCAAACCTGCACACAGAAATAACATCACATAAGGCGGTGGCGTTGCTGTGCTGGTAAAAGAACACCTAAAGGTGAACGAAATAATGACTGCCAATCCACAAGAAGTTGACATAATAGCACTAGAGATCTGCCATGAGGATGATAAACTAATGATAATAAATGCATATAGTCCACCGCCAAGCAGCACATGGTCAAAGGAGGAGCTAGATAGTAAACGTGAAGGTCTTATAACAATAATGAGAGAGATTATAGCGAGAGCGGATAACGATAGATCACGACTGTTGATAGTCGGTGACTTCAACTTGAAATCCATAGACTGGGAAGCATATGAAGCTAAAACAGAAGATTTTTGGACCTGTAAATTTGTAGACCTCATCCTGGAAACATTCTTGTATCAACATGTTAAACAAGCTACGAGGATGAGGGAAGGGGACGTTCCCTCCATGCTAGATTTGATATTTACCAGGAAGGAGGAAGAGATATTTGACATTCAGTACCTTCCTCCCTTGGGTAAAAGTGACCATGTCTTTTTGGGAATAAAGTATGCAATGCGTTATAAGCTGGAAGAAAATAAGGAGGTTGAAGCAGTTGAAAAACCAGACTTCAGGAGAGGACATTATGGTGACCTTGGAAATTTTTTTAGTGAGTATAATTGGACAGACTTGATGCTAGGCAAGGAAGTGAATGAGATGTATGTCAAGTTTTGTGAAATATATGATAAAGGCACAAAAAAATTTATACCAAAACAGAGATGCAGGGCCAGAAAACAGGATTGGTTCGACAGAAATTGTGAGAGGGCAAGAGACCAAAAGATACAAAAATGGAATCAGTATAGGAAGAGGCCAAACCCTCAAACATACCAGCGATACAAAGATGCGAGAAACAACTATACAGCAGTAAGGAGAGAGGCAGAAAGAAATTTTGAAAAAGGGATAGCGGATAAATGTAAAACAGAACCAGGTCTATTCTACAAATTCATAAACAACAAATTGCAGGTAAAGGATAATATCCAGAGGTTGAAAATGGGAAACAGATTCACGGAAAATGAAAAGGAAATGTGTGAAACATTAAATGAAAAGTTCCAAAGTGTGTTTGTACAAAATGAAATCTTCAGAGAACCAGACACAATAAGAATTCCAGAGAACAACATAGAGCGGATAGAGGTGTCTAGAGATGAAGTGGAAAATATGCTAAAGGAGCTCGGTAAGAACAAAGCAGCTGGCCCAGATGGAGTTTCACCATGGGTTCTGAGAGAATGTGCATCTGAGCTCAGCATTCCACTTCACCTGATCTTTCAGGCACCCCTGTGTACAGGAATCGTAGCAGACGTGTGGAAACAGGCTAACATAGTTCCAATCTACAAAAGTGGCAGCAGGGAAGACCCCCTCAATTATAGACCTGTATCATTGACAAGTGTAATAGTGAAAGTATTGGAAAAGCTAATCAAAACTAAATGGGTAGAACACCTGGAGAGAAATGATATAATATCAGACAGACAGTATGGCTTTCGATCTGGAAGATCCTGTGTATCGAATTTACTCAGTTTCTATGATCGAGCCACAGAGATATTACAGGAAAGAGATGGTTGGATTGACTGCATCTATCTGGACCTAAAAAAGACTTTCGACAGAGTTCCACATAAGAGGTTGTTCTGGAAACTGGAAAATATTGGAGGGGTGACAGGTAAGCTTCTATCATGGATGAAAAATTTTCTGACTGATAGAAAAATGAGGGCAGTAATCAGAGGCAATGTATCGGAATGGAGAAATGTCACAAGTGGAGTACCACAGGTTTCAGTTCTTGCACCAGTGATGTTTATTGTGCACATAAATGATCTACCAGTTGGTATACAGAATTATATGAACATGTTTGCTGATGATGCTAAGATAATAGGAAGGATAAGAAATTTAGATGATTGTCATGCCCTTCAAGAAGACCTGGACAAAATAAGTATATGGAGCACCACTTGGCAAATGGAATTTAATGTTAATAAATGTCATGTTATGGAATGTGGAATAGGAGAACATAGACCCCACACAACCTATATATTATGTGAGAAATCTTTAAAGAATTCTGATAAAGAAAGAGATCTAGGGGTGGTTCTAGATAGAAAACTATCTCCTGAGGACCACATAAAGAATATTGTGCAAGGAGCCTATGCTATGCTTTCTAACTTCAGAATTGCATTTAATTACATGGATGGCGATATACTAAAGAAATTGTTCATGACTTTTGTTAGGCCAAAGCTAGAATATGCAGCTGTTGTGTGGTGCCCATATCTTAAGAAGCACATCAACAAACTGGAAAAGGTGCAAAGACATGCTACTAAGTGGCTCCCAGAACTGAAGGGTAAAAGCTACGAGGAGAGGTTAGAAGCATTAAATATGCCAAAACTAGAAGACAGAAGAAAAAGAGGTGATATGATCACTACATACAAAATAGTAACAGGAATTGATAAAATCGACAGGGAAGATTTCCTGAGACCTGGCACTTCAAGAACAAGGGGTCATAGATTTAAACTAGCTAAACACAGATGCCGAAGAAATATAAGAAAATTCACCTTCGCAAATAGAGTGGTAGACAGTTGGAACAAGTTAAGTGAGAAGGTGGTGGAGGCCAAGACCGTCAGTAGTTTCAAAGCGTTATATGACAAAGAGTGCTGGGAAGACGGGACACCACGAGCTTAGCTCTCATCCTGTAACTACACTTAGGTAATTACACTTAGGTAATTACATGAGACCAGAAGACATGGCAGGATGTGCAGCATACCCCCATTGAAAAGCAGAGGTGCAACAGGTACAACAGGAGAGAGAGAGAACTCTATCAACATCAGAGGCCCGAGACTGTTAAACACGCTTCCACTACACATAAGGGGCAAAACTGGCTGACCCCTCACAGTGTTCAAGAGAGAACTGGATAAGCACCTCCAAAGGATACCTGATCAACCAGGCTGTGATTCATACGTCAGGCTGCGAGCAGCCGCGTCTAACAGCCTGGTTGATCAGTCCAGCAACCAGGAGGCCTGGTCGACGACCGGGCCGCGGGGACGCTAAGCCCCAGAAGCACCTCAAGGTAACCTCAAGGTAAGATACCCAAGAGTGAAGAAGCAGGCCTAGGAGCTTCAAGTGCAGATGATGAGTCACAATAACATGGCTGAAGATATGATGACCAAACCACACACCAGAGGATGAGAAACGACAACATTTCGGTCCGTTCTGGCCCATTATCAATTCATAGGAGCTTCAAGTCCCTGCATGTAACAACATACCGTAATATATAGGCCAAAAGCACAAAGGCCAGGTAAGAAGCCCTCCCCAGCCCAGATCCAGACATTCCTTTGCCCATATAGAGAAATCCATACCTAAAAGACACCATTCAACACCTCCCCGCATTGAATCAGACCATACAACCTTCTATCTTTGTGCCCTTGATCTTCCCCAACTCTAATCGTTCCCACCATGGCAGCGTACCTGACAAACACTAAGGAGAAGCAAATAATGCCCCATCAACTCCATCTAACACCGAGCTTAGGAGAAAGAGCTCAGTCCCCACATACAGTTAGGAGAGAAGAGACCAATTGATAATAAATTTAGGGGAAGGTTTTGGAAACTTAGATATGTTAGACAGTGAGGGGGAATAATACAAGTTACCTGTGGTTAGAGTCTCGACGGCTGCAGGGATGTGGAAGTGGGGGAGACGAGCACGGACCAGGTTCTCCTTGGTCATGTGATAGAGCTTGTCGGCCGAGTCAGTGAAGAGGTTGTTCTGCTTCTCCAGCAAGGCCATAATGTGCTGCAAACACACCATCAACCACATACAAGAACATATCAAATTTTAAGTAGAGTATTACTTGTTCCATGAAGGTAGCAAAACTGAGTTGAGGATCAAAACGTTTTTGACAGTTGCATTAATACAGTACTGATGAGTCAATTTTAGTTTCAAATTATCATAAAGTTTTGCGAAAGCTCATTTCCAAGTCCCATTCTCCAATAGGTCCCTCATGTAAGATTTCAGTGTGGCTGGACATTAATCATGCATTCAAGCAAGTACTACTGTACGTACATCACAGTGCTGCGGGATAGTTCCTTGCATCCTGGTCGGGTAATAATATGCTATGGCATCACTGAAGAAAACTCCTTCCAGACCAGAACTGACCACCGAAAGATATTTTTCGCGAAAATCAAAGCTTTCTATGCTCTTGCCGACAGTCACACACAAATAAACCAAATAAAGGTTCTGACCAGTAGGACTTCCAGGTCCACCACCATCATCAGTCACCACCACCACTCACCACTGCCACCACCACCACTCGCCATCACCACTACCACTCGCCATCAACCACTCGCCACCACCACCACCACTCGCCATCACCACTACCACTCGCCATCAACCACTCGCCACCACCACCACCACTCACCACCAAGCAGCAGCTCTATTATCAGACCATCCTCTTGACTTTCCACAACGAACAAAACAAGGTGAACTAAAATGCACGAGCCATTACCAAGGACACAATGAGATCTTACGTGAGGAAGCAGCACAATCTCTCACTCCCCATACACCCACTTACAACTGATAAAATACACACTCACACAATGTCTCACTCCCCGTGGGCACAGTTATAAGCCCACACTCACACAATGTCTCACTCCCCGTGGGCACAGTTATAAGCCCACACTCACACAATGTCTCACTCCCCGTGGGCAGAGTTATAAGCCCACACTCACACAATGTCTCACTCCCCGTGGGCACAGTTATAAGCCCACACTCACACAATGTCTCACTCCCCGTGGGCACAGTTATAAGCCCACACTCACACAATGTCTCACTCCCCGTGGGCACAGTTATAAGCCCACACTCAGACAATGTCTCACTCCCCGTGGGCACAGTTATAAGCCCACACTCACACAATGTCTCACTCCCCGTGGGTACAGTTATAAGCCCACACTCACACAATGTCTCACTCCCTGTGGGCACAGTTATAAGCCCACACTCAGACAATGTCTCACTCCCCGTGGGCACAGTTATAAGCCCACACTCACACAATGTCTCACTCCCCGTGGGCATGTAACACGGGGAGGGCTTCTCGAATTAAGCCCACACTCACACAATACCTCACTCATCACAGTTAAGTACACAGTTATCAGCACACTCACACCGTTTTAACCAACACTCCAGGAAGAGGCACTCACACAACACTTATCAACTTTGGAAGCACTTGCTGCCCACTTGACAAGTGCCAGGAGACGCACGTACAGCTGCCGTGTCCTCTGGGCGTACTGCACTATATCCACCTTCTTTTCCATATCGCTCTTCCTTGGCAAGCTGGCAAAACAAAAGAGCATTTTAGTATCAGCTTCCTTAATATTTAACTAAATACATAGAGCTTTTTTATATAAAACTTAAAGACTGGCTTCAAGTGTCAACCAGAAGCTTAACAATTGGTTTAAGTGTCAAGTGGCAGTTAGAAGTCAAACAGCTGGCTTAAGTGTCAACTGGAAGCCAAAATCAGTATCTTGAAATTCCCCTAGGAAATCATAATTTTCTATTGATTATTTCTGAGGTGAACATCACATCAATCACCACAACTACGCTATCAATATATTATTCATGTGGTAGTTGCTAAGCTGAGATCACAACACTGGTAAAAAATCTCAAAAGTCAAAATCTCACAAAATCTCTCACATTTCAACCGCAGCAAAGCCTGCCCATTTGTGACAACGAGCATAATGAACGGTAAACACATTTCCGATATAGCATAGGCCTAGTGCTCGTGTTTCTGACCCTCAACCCGAGTACTGTACCGTACTGCAGGCTACCTACCTGTTGAAGATTCCGAGGATTAGTATCCCTACGGCCCGGTCTCCGATCGCAGCAACCAGAAGGTCTTCCTGGTTGCTAGTCTGATCAGCGAGGCTGTTTGATGCGGTTGCTTGCAGCCTGACATGAGCTACGCTCTTCCTCGACACACAAAGCCTAGCGAGCTACTAGTAGCAACATTTATGACAATATAATGATGCTCACATTTCCGACATACAAGAAAGAACAACACTCACATCTCCGCCAAGTTGAGCAAGTCAGAGTACGTCCTCTGATTGATATACTGGATGAGCACTCCAAGCGATATTGTGCCCATCTGGCCACCCATTGACCCCACCGAATCTATGGGCCCCGCACCACTCCCACTCTCCAGTGGAGTTGGAGTTGGAGTGGGTGTCATCGCAACTTGATTGATGTGTCACCTTAGCTACCTGTGGGTTAAGAAAATCCAATAAAATTGTGAAACAAAGAGGTGCATATACTGTACTTTGTTAAATGTTTGCTAATTGTAGACCAAATATAATGCTGCAATAATAACTCCAAAAAATAATAATACTGTATTGACGATAATAGTACACTAATCACTGTGGTGGTCCAGACTCGCAGTGTGTTTGCTGGACACTCAGAAATATAAAAGGGTTATAAAAATTGTTTACATCATCTATTGTTATTTGTTATTATAATTATAACTCTGGTGTCAAAATGTTTGCAAATGAATTCTTTAGAAAATGGATGTAAAAACAAAATTTAATTTATAATAAATTATACACAACAGCAATGAAAATTTTAATGGTTATGAATAGCAATCAGATGACATATTTTAGTTGCATTGGTACATGTACTGTTGGAGTACGGATGACAGGTTTTAGAGTCACGAGAACACATGTTCAAAAATAGTCTATTTCCACTTGAGAATCATCATAACATGTTTACTGGATACAAACATGACAATTAAGGTAGACAACAAGTTTACACGTGTGTGCAAAATACTTAAAACCACAAAAACCATGCATTAGTGATAAATAAAAGATAGCCCTTTGCAGGTTACATTATAACAATATTCGTTGGCAATGCTTTATTTGCATGCCAAAATAAGTGGCTTCAGAGTCACGCACTGTGGCTGTCATTCAGTGCTAGGTTAGACTTCGTTAGGCTAAGCTAGATTTAGCTAGGCAAGTCTAGCCTAACCTAAATTAGGCTAGGTTCGGTTCAACTAGGTTAGGCTAGGTGAAGTTAGGCTAGGTTAGGCAAGGGTAGATTATGTTAGGCTAGATTAGGCATGGGTAGGTTAGGTCAGGCTAGGTTACCCCATGCTAGATATTAAAACCAGTCAGGAAACTGCATAATAAAATCACAAGAACGTGATGTAAGTGTACTGTATGTACGAGATAATATCGAGGTTGCATAATGCGACTGAACTTGTATCCCTGGACTCCCCAGCCATGCGCGCACTACCCACTGTACCATACTGTGCACACGACGGCCATGCAGGTTCAATCCCATCACACAGCCCCCCCAATATTTACTCCACTGGCAATTTTTTTTTTTAACAAAGTGAACTGGATCTTCATGGATACACTGGGCACAGTGCTATTCTGATACACCACAAATCAACAAAAGTTATCATAATAATAATAGGCCATAAAACAGGCCAAAAGTATATTTACTACAAGTGCGAGGACACTAACGATTGGCTCTTGGAATAATTTTAGGGTTTACAGGGAATTACGTTCACATGATGGATTGGAAATACTGTACTGGTATTTTTGTTTGTGTAGAGGGAACAACTGCAGAATTTTTTTTTAAGATCATCTTTGCTGTTGTATAATATATAGTGCTGTGGTACAGTATTTTTGGCATACTATACACGGGTTAACCCAACTGACAATTGGGGTTACATTCCAATATGGTGCAGAACAACCTTCAGGACCCAACTGTGGAAGACACATCGTACACACGATGTGTACACACGATGTGTACACATCGTACACACGATGTGTACACGTCTTGTGTACACATCGTACACAAGACGGTTCGTCAGCATATTATATAACCTAACCTGATCCAACCTAACCTAACCCAACCAGGCCTAACATGATAATACATCCTAGCAATAGGGACGAGTTTTAAAATCAGAAAATGAGCCTTGTCATGCCATCTTGTGTATGATTCGGCCATACTTCCCTTCAAGACCCAACTGGAGAAGACACAAGTCACATTTATTTATTGATATACTGTATATACAAAAAGATACAGTGGGTTTTAGAGAGTACATAGCACTGATGTTTTGGCATTCTTATAAAGCCACTAACACGCACAGCGTTTCGGGCAGATTATACACAAGAGAGTTCGACCATATAATTATAGCACTTAATATTGCCAACCAAACCTAACACAAAGAAATCTAACAATATATACGGTTTTGATAATTAGAGAGCAAGCTGCAACTTGCCCAGGTTTAATTAAAAATAAATAAAATAAAATATAGTTCACATATGTAATGATTAGTAGCTACAGTAGGTTACCTAAGCGGGGACGGGGGGGGGGAGCAGCTAGATGCTGACACTTTTGTTTAGGGTAAACCACTGCATTTTTTACGAAGGGAAAATCGAGAAATGCTCGCATACGACCCAACAGCGGAGTTAAGGGTCAAGTGTCACCCTTAAAACTCCACCCCCCCCCTCCTCCCCTCACCCTCCCACCACACGCATGAGGTCAATACCTGAGGTCAGAGGCCACCTGGGCCCCTCACACCTCACTCACTCAGAGCCTGGGGCGGCTGGCCGGTCTAGACACCATTACTCTCAACAGTTCAGAGAACATCAAGGTAAACGGGGGACCTCTCACAAGCCGCCGGCTTCCTGTCCTCGTCCAGGCCACTAGAGAGTTAAGTGGCCCTCGGAGGGGTAAATTCAGGTAAACAGCGGCGGCGGTGGCCGTCCTCCGCCTAGACTACAACAACAATAACATCAACTCATAAACAACAACTACACTAAATGTAAAGCATTTCGTATTTCTTTCTAATTAAGATAATTTGAAGAACTTATGTATGTTAAATCTATTTTAAATAACTAATAAATATTATTTAGCAAAAACTTTGATATTTAAGGATATTTAGTCATATTTAAACTCTAAGTTTACACTTTGGGTTCAAGAAAACATGAACGAGCCTAAAAGCTTTATTTCATTTTATTTATTTATTTATTTATTTATTTATTTATTTATTTATTTATTTATTTATTTATTTATTTCTAAAATTTACTTATTTCTCTATTTTATTATTTTTTATTTACTTATCTATCTATCTATCTATCTATCTATCTATCTATCTATCTATCTATCTATCTATCTATCTATCTATCTATCTATCTATCTATCTATCTACCCTGGAAACACAAACCGTAACTCTCTCTATTTTCCGTTTGTTACAACTTGTAATAAAGTTGTTACATCTTGGCTTAACGTGTTTATGACGTATTAGAACGTTGTTACAACTGCTATATTGGTTGTTATAACTGGTTAGGAGGTGTTAAAACTTGTTCGAACGTTGTAACAACGTCGTAGTTTCGGTGTGTGTTTGGCGGGTATCTATCTATCTATCTATCTATCTATCTATCTACAAGAAAGTACATTGGTTTGTGAGAGAACATAACATTGGTATTCACACATTCTTGCAAAGCCTCTACCACGCATAGTCTTTTCGGCAGGTCCTTAATCTATCTTTAAACTTTCAGACAAAAGTTAGTTTAGTTTAGTTCATTTATTATGCACCCCATACCCATCTTGCGGGCGGTAGTGGAAAGGGTTACAGAGGCACATAATGGGCTCAGGGACTGAACCCCACAATTCATTTAGCTAAGCAAGTTACAATCTTGATGAGCTAGTTACAAAATTCAATATAAGTCATCACATCAACAATGGGTTCGAGATCGACCTCAAGTACAGATTCTAAATTAAGCAACTGACATATGTGGAGAGCTAGTGTCACAATTGATATGTTTGTCCTGCACACCGCCCCCCATCCAGTGGGCAGCGGTGGATAGGTTACAATCACTCAGTTACTACTGTAACGGTTCTATTGTTACGTAAAGTATGGTGACAATAAACACAGACACTAAGATACTATTTATATATTTGGTCGAATATACAGAAGTACACAGGTGATACTTTGGTGTGAGTTGAGCGCACTGAGCGTCGGTACAGTATCTCGCAAGTGTCTGCTCTAGACCACACTTGAAAGTAGACTCTGGTTAATGTTTGCTATTCTGCTGCTTATATGCTCGGGCAACTCCTCACCGTATTGCCCGGGCAACGCCTCACCTCATTCACCTCCAAAGGTTGACAGGAATATTAACAATGCATTTGGAGCGAGTATATTATTGGATAATCTACTCGCTACACTACCTACAGTTAGCAAACTGGGGATATTTGGCTAAAATTTCTGGTAGCAGATCATTTTGAATGAAATATTTACACATCGCTGGAACATTGGTTATAGAATTGTCTCTAAATTCACGTATCTTTTCGCACTCCATCACATAGTGACGGAGGGTGTGCGAATAATTTTGTTGACACAGTTTACATTTGGTCATGTCTACATCAGCAGATAATGAGAATTCCCAGAGATACTTGTAACCGAGTCTAAGCCGAGCAGTAGTAACTTCTAGAAGTCTGCTGATTTTATTGGATGATCCATAGATGTGTGGCTCCTCTTGCATGATAGTATGATGATAGATGGAATTACTGGTGTCAATTTCACTTTGCCTCAGATCTACAAGATCTTGTTGAAGTTCTCGGTGTACTGCTGCTCTCAGATTGCTAATTGACAATTCAAGGTTACACTCAACGGCTCCTTTAAAGACAGATTCTTTGGCTAACTTATCAGCTCTATCATGCATTTGGAGGCCAACATGAGATGGAGACCACATGAAATGGACTCTGTTACCATCCTTAATAATTTTGTTATATTTGTGTCTAGCTTCGGACACGAGCATGTTACAGTTATGTCTTAAAGAGTTGAGAGCATTTAAGGATGATAAGGAGTCACTTACAATTAATGTATCAAGTTTGGAGACTTGTACACATTTCAGTGCAAGGATCAAGGCAAATAGTTCAGTCTGAAGGGTAGAGGCCCAATTGTTTATACGGACTCCCCACTCAAAGTACAAGCCATCGCCCATTGTCAGGACAACTGCACTTCCAGCTGTACCCGTGGTTAAAAAACCAATACTCGTGTCCAATAACAATGGTTTACTTTTAGCCTCTGATAGTGCTATTGAATTCAATAGGTTCTTCTCATCCATTGGGTCATCCCTTGCTAATGATATTCCATCCTCCCGTACTAATGTCAAGATTGATTGATTGATAAAGATTAAGCCACCCAAGAGGTGGCACGGGCATGAATAGCCCGTAACTAATATCAAGGATTACCTTACAGGTAACTATCCACAGTCTCTGTACCTTATGCCTACTAATTCCACTGATCTTACTGACATAATCCTTTCCCTTAAGACCAAGTCTAGTGCCCTTGAGGAGATACCAAATCTAATTTACAAAAAAGCCTCTAGATTATTAGCTCCTGCCATTGCATTGCTCTACAACAAGTCACTTGAACTCCAAACCTTTCCAGATGTTCTAAAAAAAAAGCGAGAGTAACCCCTGTCCACAAATGTGGTGATCTCACAGATGTTAACAACTTCAGACCTATATCAATTCTGCCAAACTTGTCAAAAATATTTGAAAAACTAATCTACAAGCAGCTTTACTCTTATCTAACCAAACACAATATATTTAGCTCTTGCCAATATGGCTTCAGACCAAAAATAAGCACTAACGATGCACTTATTAGTATGATTAACTTGATACATGCAGCTCTTGATAAAAATGAGTTCCCTGTTGAGTTATTTGTAGACCTGCGTAAGGCTTTTGACACTGTCAACCACCAAAACCTTCTTCTTAAATTACATCATTATGGAGTCAGAGGACACTCCCTGCAATACCTTCAGTCTTATCTTACTGACAGGCTCCAGTATGTTTCTGTGAATAATTCGATTTCTCCCACCCTACCCATCAACATTGGTGTTCCTCAGGGCAGCATACTTGGCCCTCTCCTCTTTCTTATCCTTGTTTGTGTTACATTAATGATCTTCCAAATGCCTTTCAACACCTCAAACTAATTCTATTTACTGACGACACAACCTTCCTTTTCTCAAGTCCTCCCTCTTGCTCTAAATGTCACTGTCAATACTGAACTAAATAAAGTCCATCTTTGGCTAACTGCCAACAAACTCACCCTTAACATTGACAAAACTTTCTATATTTTGTTTGGCAAAAAATCCTCAAATCAAATTAATCTAATAATAAACAATTCCCAAATTAGTAAGAAAGTAGATGGCAAATTCCTTGGTGTCCTCATCGATAACAAGCTGAATTTCCACGGACACATTCTAAATATATAAAAATTTAGATATTAAGTCACTGCACATTCTCTCATGTGTATTATACATATATAAAACGCTAAACTGTAATGCCAATCCTGACCTCAAAAGATTCATTGAAGGTTGTAACAGAACCCATGAGCACCACACCAGAAATAAATACAGTTTTGATATTCCTAGAGTACGACTTAATTAAACTAGAAATGCTCTACAAATCAAGGGGCCCAGAATGTGGAATAACCTTCCCAACCATGTTAAAGACTGTACCTCTCTCAACCAGTTTAAGAGTAAAACTAAACACTACCTAATTAACTCCATGTAACCTACCTTACCCCTTAAATGTCAACCCATGTCTTGCTTTTTTAAAACAATGCTGTTTGTTCACTAACTTGTACAATTGATGATTTCTGCCATGTTCCCCCTTTTTTTTATTCCTTTTTTCAACACAATTTATACCTATTCCCAATTACTATTAAATTTCAGTCTAAGTGTTTTTTCCCCCCACAGCTTGCCCGAAACGCTTCGCGTATTACTGGCTTTACGTATTGTATGTACTAGCTTTATCTAAAAATCCAACTTTATGTTTGCAAATCATCTATGTATGTACTTTTCCTAAATTTTTTTTTAATTTGAATGAATAAATATGTCTTTGATATCCTCTTTAAAAGTTAACTTTTAAAGGACAGCTGGAAAAGATCAAGGCATATGGTGCGGACCTTCGACAAGCCGCCAGCTTCCTGTCCTCGTCAAGGTCAACTAGTGTTAGCGGCTTTCAGGTAAACTCAAGTAAACTCAGGAAAAGGAACATTGTAGCAAAATTAGAGTTCAACATAATAACTACATTATAAGTTGATTACAGTGGTAAGGATATATATCTTAAGTACTATTATTGGGGGAAGTGGGTAGTACAAGATACAGTGTACTGTACAAGATACAGTGTACTGTACAAGATACGGTGTACTGTACAAGATACAGTGTACTGTACAACATACGGTGTACTGTACAAGATACAGTGTACTGTACAAGATACGGTGTACTGTACAAGATACAGTGTACTGTACAACATACGGTGTACTGTACAAGATACAGTGTACTGTACAAGATACAGTGTACTGTACAAGATACAGTGTACTGTACAAGATACAGTGTACTGTACAAGATACAGTGTACTGTACAAGATACAGTGTACTGTACAAGATACAGTGTACTGTACAAGATACAGTGTACTGTACAAGATACAGTGTACTGTACAAGATACAGTGTACTGTACAAGATACAGTGTACTGTACAAGATACAGTGTACTGTACAAGATACAGTGTACTGTACAAGATACAGTGTACTGTACAAGATACAGTGTACTGTACAAGATACAGTGTACTGTACAAGATACAGTGTACTGTACAAGATACAGTGTACTGTACAAGATACAGTGTACTGTACAAGATACAGTGTACTGTACAAGATACAGTGTACTGTACAAGATACAGTGTACTGTACAAGATACAGTGTACTGTACAAGATACAGTGTACTGTACAAGATACAGTGTACTGTACAAGATACAGTGTACTGTACAAGATACAGTGTACTGTACAAGATACAGTGTACTGTACAAGATACAGTGTACTGTACAAGATACAGTGTACTGTACAAGATACAGTGTACTGTACAAGATACAGTGTACTGTACAAGATACAGTGTACTGTACAAGATACAGTGTACTGTACAAGATACAGTGTACTGTACAAGATACAGTGTACTGTACAAGATACAGTGTACTGTACAAGATACAGTGTACTGTACAAGATACAGTGTACTGTACAAGATACAGTGTACTGTACAAGATACAGTGTACTGTACAAGATACAGTGTACTGTACAAGATACAGTGTACTGTACAAGATACAGTGTACTGTACAAGATACAGTGCACTGTACAAGATACAGTGCACTGTACAAGATACAGTGCACTGTACAAGATACAGTGCACTGTACAAGATACAGTGCACTGTACAAGATACAGTGCACTGTACAAGATACAGTGCACTGTACAAGATACAGTGCACTGTACAAGATACAGTGCACTGTACAAGATACAGTGCACTGTACAAGATACAGTGCACTGTACAAGATACAGTGCACTGTACAAGATACAGTGCACTGTACAAGATACAGTGCACTGTACAAGATACAGTGCACTGTACAAGATACAGTGCACTGTACAAGATACAGTGCACTGTACAAGATACAGTGCACTGTACAAGATACAGTGCACTGTACAAGATACAGTGCACTGTACAAGATACAGTGCACTGTACAAGATACAGTGTACTGTACAAGATACAGTGCACTGTACAAGATACGGTGCACTGTACAAGATACGGTGTACTGTACAAGATACAGTGTACTGTACAAGATACGGTGCACTGTACAAGATACGGTGCACTGTACAAGATACGGTGCACTGTACAAGATGCGGTGCACTGTACAAGATACAGTGCACTGTACAAGATACGGTGCACTGTACAAGATACGGTGTACTGTACAAGATACAGTGTACTGTACAAGATACAGTGTACTGTACAAGATACAGTGTACTGTACATGATACAGTGTACTGTACATGATACAGTGTACTGTACAAGATACAGTGTACTGTACATGATACAGTGTACTGTACATGATACAGTGCACTGTACAAGATACAGTGTACTGTACAAGATACAGTGTACTGTACAAGATACAGTGTACTGTACAAGATACAGTGCACTGTACAAGATACAGTGTACTGTACAAGATACAGTGTACTGTACAAGATACAGTGTACTGTACAAGATACAGTGTACTGTACATGATACAGTGTACTGTACATGATACAGTGTACTGTACAAGATACAGTGTACTGTACAAGATACAGTGTACTGTACATGATACAGTGTACTGTACATGATACAGTGTACTGTACAAGATACAGTGTACTGTACAAGATACAGTGTACTGTACATGATACAGTGTACTGTACAAGATACAGTGTACTGTACAAGATACAGTGTACTGTACATGATACAGTGTACTGTACAAGATACAGTGTACTGTACAAGATACAGTGTACTGTACATGATACAGTGTACTGTACAAGATACGGTAGTGCAGTCGGGTTCGTTTTCGACTCACAATCGTCAATTCCGGGTTCGAATCCCGAAAGGGACAGAAATGATTGGGCACGTTTCCTTTCACCTTATGCACCTGTACACCTAGCAGTAAGTAGGTACCCCAGGAGATATAGTCAACGTGTTGTGGGGTTGTATCCTGGGTGGGGTCAGTAATTCAACCCTTGGTGGGGGGTGGGAAACCTCGATATTTAGCCTAAGGTGTATGAATACACTCTGGCTGCCTGTCCCCCGACACAATGAATTATAATTATTAATAAAACTGGCCTGACACGGCAACAGCCACAATTAAGAAGGTGGTGATCTGCAGGACGGGATCAGTGCTGACCCTTATAATGGGGGAGGGTCGGACTTGAATTGTTATTATATAATTATTATAATTATTAATAATGGAGGTTAATAATTAATATTTCATAATTAATATTTCATAATTTCATAATTAATTATATTAATTAATCGTACCCTGGCCGGGGAGGATTTACTGGGCGCAATTCCTTAACTGTAGCCTCTGTTTAACGCAACAGTAAAATGTGTACTTGGATGAAAAAACGATTCTTCGCGGCGGGGATCGTATTCCAGGGACCATAGGATTAAGGACTTGCCCGAAACGCTACGCGTACTAGTGGCTGTACAAGAATGTAACAACTCTTGTATATATCTCAAAACAAAATTTAGTAGGAGTGGTAAAAGGTTTAGGCTCGTGGCGGCTGTCAACAACAACACCCCGCCATTTCCAAGTCCTTGTTAAAGGCGTGTCATGGTTTTTGCCTCATTTTACCTGAGAGACATCATCCTTAGTGGCATCGTCGGTGACAGGGAGCCAGAGGCTTGTCAAAGTTCCCAACTGTTCCTCCTAGTGGGCGGAAACGCTCCAGGTGAGGTTCCTGGCTCACCCCTGATGCCCAAAATTGGCGTCCGGCGGGGTATGGTCAACTTTTATCCAAAATATAATTTTGTTTGTTTGTTAAAGCTATTATTATATATTGTTAGGGTATGATGTATTCGCGTTGGTTAGGCTGTGTTAGACTGCGATAGGTTAAGTTACTTTGGGCTGGGTAAGCTTAGGTTTTTGTTGTAAGTCCTGTGGTGAACAGCCTTGAATACAGTGTAAACTGTATAGTTTATTTATTTATTGATATATATATATACAAGAATGTACATTGGGTTTGTGAGAGTACATAGCATGATGTGTTTACATTCATGTAAAGCCACTAGTATGCTCAGCGTTTCCGGCAGGTCCTTAATCTAACGGATAATATTAAGAAGGTAAATTCTTGCAAAATTTATAAACTGTTATAGTAACAGGTACATTGTATGAAAAATTTGAGAGCGATTAGTATATCGAAGCACATTGATAGCTTTGATTGATAGCACTGATAGCTTGATTGATAATTTGACAAAGATTAATAGGCACAGTAAAGACAATTGATAGCATATATAAGATGACAGCAATGATCACAATGGGAAAGTTGCTTAGGTTCATGTATATATATATATATATATATATACAACGGTTGCCTGGCATTCCGCGAGCTCTTTGTCCTGGGTTCGTATCCTAGCCGGGGAGGATTTACTGGGCGCAAATCCTTAACTGTAGCCTCTGTTTAACCCGACAGTAAAATGGGTACCTGATTGTAAAAACAATTCTTCGCAGGGGTTCGTATTCCAGGGAACATAGGATTAAGGACTTGCCTGAAATGATACGTGTACTAGTGGCTGTACAAGAATGTAAGAACTCTTGTATAACAATAAAATAAAATATTGGGGGATTGGGTAGCACTAGATACAGGGCGAGCTTAGAGCACTAGGTAAGAAACTATGAAGATGAAATTAGGTAATTCTTGCTTTTGTTTTTGAATAAGGTAAAAGTTGGACAGCTTTAAAATTCATTAGGGAGTGAATTCCATTGACTAGGTCCCTTTATTTGCATAGAGTGTTTGCACAGATTAAGTTTGACCCTGGGAATATCAAAGAGATATTTATTTCTGGTGTGGTGATTATAGGTTTTGTTACATCTGTCCAGGGAGTTTCAGAAGAGGGTTTGCACTTAAGGAAACAAGGTGATAGTTCCTAAAAAGTTGTTCAATGTCAACCAATATTTTTTGACTAGTTGTATATGAAAAGGGCTGCAATTGTTCCAAGTTTCAGTACTGCAGCCTAAATAAAAAGGCAGATTAAATTTATGTTTTTTTTCAACGAATATTACACATTTTCATGTGAGTTGAGACCTCTCACCTTTTCAAATATAATCATTCTATGACACTTTTCTGACACATTAGCATATAATAAAGGATCTGTAGGAAAGGATTATCCAAAACATCTTTAGTTTTCCTAATACAAATAGTCAAAGTTTCCCACCAAAATTATGCAAATATATCATGTTTATTGCTATTTATAAAATTAATAAATGAACTTAGGAAAAATGCTTCCTACTCTTTTTAAGAGACATAAACGTTCCATATAAGGTGTAAGTTTCATGGAAATTGAATAAAAATGAAAGAGTACCAACTCGTTTATGTTACTTGAAAAATATATCATTAAATATTAAAGTCTAAGGTGCTGCCATCTGTGGCTGAGGGTGACATAAACCAATTTCCTCCAAAATTGGCTCCCTTACAGATAGGCTTACATGCAGTCAGGTGTACAAGTTTCATGCAAATCATCTGATAAATAAGAAAAATAACATTGGAAAAAAAAATCTATTTTTTTTTACTTAATTTTTTTTTAATAAAACTAATTATATATATATTTTTAATATATGCTATTGTGATAGCTGAGAGTCATAGACATGATTTCAGTTGACACTTGTGTTTGATAATCGTTTTTGAACATTTTGGAAAATTTCTGGGGGGAGCCCCGTCGGCTCCCCGGAGCTATCCCAGGCTGATATGCTAATGTCAGACTTTGGCATCAGTCATGTGTATGGAGTTCTTAGGCCTACCGGGGACCACGGCCAGAACCGGGCCCCCTCAGAGAGGCAAGGGGAGCAATGGCCTATAGAAGCCCCCGTGTAGTTGGAAGCATTCTATGTCTGCCATCGACCGGAACAGGCACCCAGAAAGGTAAGCGCCCCAAAACAAACCCCTATTCTGGTTAAAATTGCTACCTAAAACCGAACTAGTGGATAGAACGCCCCAACCGAAAACAAGCAAACTAGTGTGACGTCACACACTGCCGCGCCGCTGTCTGCGCAGCTCCCCCCTCCCCGGGAGGGGGAAGGGGGAGCCCCAGACCCCCCGCGCCGGCTACCCACACCTCAGTTTTTGAGGCTGATGCTATAGGCGATGGTCGTGTGCTCTGGCTCCGGTGTCGCTACTGCACTGTGCTTTGCGTGTGGTGTTGGTTTTGTGGGTGCGAGAGCCAGGAGTTATCTTCAGTACTCGGGCTGCATGCGCCTAGGGCTGCCTTCCCTAGGTGCCCTGTAAGTACTGCCCTTGGGGCTTGGGGCCACCTTCCACAGGCTCCTCGGGGTCTGCCTCTGCTGGTCCGTTTTACCTTTCGGTTTTTCGGCCGCCTGTTGGGCTCTTGGGTGTTCTGTTCTCCCTTGTTACCGGCAGGTAAGAGGCAGTTTGCACTGGTAGGGGCGCAAGGTGCTGCTCAGCTTGTATTTCCCGACATCGCGGCCGGCTCTGTTCCTTGGGGTTTGCTGTCCTCTTGCGGGGTTTTGTTTTTCTTTTTGTTTTTGCCTGGTGGGGGGTTCTGTCCTTTTATTCAGTTTGTTTTTGCCCTTCCACTGTTCTCCTCGGTGGCGCCCCCTGCTAGGTCCCCGTGAGTGTACACGTCCCTGGGGTTCAGCTTTAGAAGTTTGCTTGGTAGTTTTGGGCGCCGGTTTGCAGCACCCTGCCTGGGACTACCTGAGCGCGAGTCCTCTTCAAGTAAACGCTCAGGACCCTGGGAATCCCCTAGGGGGCGCGTGGGTCCGATGGATGTGACCCCAGAGTCCCCACTCGCTGTGTGCGAGTTTGAGGGTTGCTCGGTCTCCTTGTCTCAGGGTGACCCTCATTGTTTTTGCCTCTGCCACGCTGCCTGTTGGGTCGGTGATACTTTCGACCCTGAGTCCTGTGAGTGTTGCTGCTTGCTTGTGACTCAATTTACCCAATCCTCTGATGATTCTATTCGGGTACGGGCGGCACGTGCGTTGCAGTCTAGGTTTCGTCTGTTGCAACGCGCTCGGTTGGTTGCTTCCCCGGATGCCCTGGGGCTGCCCCGCTTTGCTTTTCGAGACCCGGACTTGGGGGTGGGGGTCGCTTCGATCCTGGTTCAGTCTGCACCTCCTCGTCCTTCCCCTTCTGTTCGTTCTGGTCCCCCGCCCCTGCTTCCGGCCCCGAAGCGTCTGAGGGTTTCGGGGTCGGAGCAGGGGTTACTTGATCTCGAGACTCGGGCAGCTTCGGGGGTTGCCCCTTCCGGGGGGGCGGCAGAGGCATTCGAGTCTTGTCTCCCGGCCGAAGCTTCAGGGTCTGACCAGTGGGCCCCCCTTCCTCCAGCTTTTCCGGCTGCTCCGTCCTTGTCTTGTGGGGTCGGGGAGAGGACTCGGCTTCGGGTCCTGTGGTGAAGGACCTTGAGGCTGGGGAGGGGCTGACTTGGGGGCCTTGGGCCCCGCTGGACCCCGCCTGGGTTTTTCTTCCCACTGAGCGGGGCTTATTGTTACAAGGAGTGGGGTTTTCTTTTCCCCCCTCTGTGTACGAGTTGGATTTGGTGTCGGCCCCTCCCCGGGTTCGGTTCCGTGTTCCCCCGGGTACGTCGGTTCCGTCCTTCCGGAGGTTTTCGGCTTATCGCATCCAACCTGGTGTGGTGCGAGCGGCCTTTGCAGCTTACCTCCTGCGTGACCCGGATTATGCCTCGGAAATGGATCCGTCCACGTTCAGGTTTGGGACTTCGTTCCCTTTCTGGCTCCGTTACGAGGTTCCGGAGTCGTCCTGGCTAGCAGACTGCCCCTTGTTTGGTCTGGATTCCTGGCATTCCTTCTGTCGTTCCCGCACGCTGGAGTGGCGGGAAGCTTCCACGGTGCTTCAGGTTTTCCTGGGGGGTGAACTTGAGTACCTGAATGAGTGCTTGTTTGCCCCTGCCCTTCCCCGCGATGTGGGCGTTATTCAGCTCCATGTGCAGGTTCCCTCCCTTTCGGCGGCGCTCGTGGCGGAGGACTTGCGCGCCCGGGGCCTTTTGTGTTCAGCCTTGTGGTTCTTTTCCCTCCTGGAGCTGTCTTCGGATTGGCTCGTGGAGGATGTGGGGACGCTTGGGTCCGTCCCGGGGTCCGGCACCTTGTCCTCGGCTGCGCGTTCGTCGGCTGCCTTGTTGAAGCTGTTCACGCCGATTTTGCAGGATGCGGTTTCCCTGTTCTATGCTTCCCGTCTCGCGTGTCGGCAGGCGGTGCTGGGTTCCTCCGTGGAATCTGCTTGGGCTCTGGCTCTTAGGCGTTCTTCACCTTTTTGTCCTCTCCTGTTTGGGGAGTCGGCCGTGGCGCAGTTTATTCAGGCTGCGTCGGCGGCTTGTCGTCCGATGTCGGACTTGTTGGTTTTCCGGGGGTCCCAGCGTGGGTCTTCCCGGAAAGGTCGTGCCAGGGCTCGGGGTTCCTCTCGTCGTGGTAGGCCTCTGGTGTCAGGTTTGGGGTTGGCTCCTCCTGCGGACCCTCCCTCGTCTGGTCGGCGCGGTGTTCGCGCTGTGCGGGGTTCTGGGTCTCGTAAGGGTCGCCGGCCCTTTCGCGGTTTGCCCCCTTGACGGGGCGATGGGGGGCGGCTTGCGCTGTTCGCCCGCGCCTGGTCCCATGATTCGTGGGCCTTTCAGGTCGTGTCTCGCGGCCTGCGGTGGCGTTGGGTGGCCCCTCCCCCCTTTGGGGGGTCGGGGCTGGCAGGGCAGGCTTCTTCCCCTGCGCTCTGTC